TTAAAAAAGAAGAAACTTCTAACTTCAAGAAAAAATATAAATATTACTATTGGAAAACATTTGCTTGATAGGACAAAGATAAATTATTTGAATCTATCATACAGAAAAACTAGAGTAATTTAAACAACCTTGATTGAAAAGCAGTTGTTTTAAAATAAATCACCACCAGCCATTGTTCTACATAATTTCAGTGAATCCTAGCATTTCAGTTGCTTTCAACATTGCTCACAGATGAGTCTCCTTCACTTCTGAATGAGTGCCTGTAACTTTGCTCAGAGATGAGTCTTCTTCACTTCTGAGTGAGTGCCCGTAACTTTGCTCAGAGATGAGTCTCCTTTACTTCTAAGTGAGTGCCCGTAACTTTACTCAGAGATGAGTCTCCTTTACTTCTGAGTGAGTGCCCGTAACTTTGCTCAGAGATGAGTCTCCTTTACTTCTGAGTGAGTGCCCGTAACTTTGCTCAGAGATGAGTCTCATTTACTTCTGAGTGAGTGCCTGTAACTTTGCTCAGAGATGACTCTCTTTTACTTCTGAGTGAGTGCCTGTAACTTTGCTCAGAGATGAGTCTCCTTCACTTCTGAGTGAGTGCCTGTATCTTTGCTCAGAGATAAGTCTCCTTTACTTCTGAGTGAGTGCCCGTAACTATGCTCAGAGATGAGTCTCCTTTACTTCTGATTGAGTGCATGTAACTTTGCGCAGAGATGAGTTTCCTTTACTTCTAAGTGAGTGCCCGTAACTTTGCTCAGAGAAGAGTCTCCTTCACTTCTGAGTGAGTGCCTGTATCTTTGCTCAGAGATAAGTCTCCTTTACTTCTGAGTGAGTGCCTGTAACTATGCTCAGAGATGAGTCTCCTTTACTTCTGATTGAGTGCATGTAACTTTGCGCAGAGATGAGTTTCCTTTACTTCTAAGTGAGTGCCCGTAACTTTGCTCAGAGAAGAGTCTCCTTCACTTCTGAGTGAGTGCCTGTATCTTTGCTCAGAGATAAGTCTCCTTTACTTCTGAGTGAGTGCCCGTAACTTTGCTCAGAGATGAGTCTCCTTTACTTCTGAGTTAGTGCCCGTAACTTTGTTCAGAGATGAGTCTCCTTTACTTCTGAGTGAGTGCCCGTAACTTTGCTCAGAGATGAGTGTCCTTTACTTCTGAGTTAGTGCCCGTAACTTTGCTCAGAGATGAGTCTTCTTTACTTCTGAGTGAGTGCCTGTAACTTTGCCCAGAGATGAGTCTCCTTTACTTCTGAGTGAGTGCCCGTAACTTTGCTCAGAGATGAGTCTCCTTTACTTCTGAGTGAGTGCCCGTAACTTTACTCAGAGATGAGTCTCCTTTACTTCTGAGTGAGTGCCCGTAACTTTGCTCAGAGATGAGTCTCATTTACTTCTGAGTGAGTGCCTGTAACTTTGCTCAGAGATGAGTCTCCTTTACTTCTGAGTGAGTGCCCGTAACTTTGCTCAGAGATGAGTCTCCTTTACTTCTGTGTGAGTGCCCGTAACTTTGCTCAGAGATGAGTCTCATTTACTTCTGAGTGAGTGCCCGTAACTTTGCTCAGAGATGAGTCTCATTTACTTCTGAGTGAGTGCCCGTAACTTTGCTCAGAGATGAGTCTCATTTACTTCTGAGTGAGTGCCCGTAACTTTGCTCAGAGATGAGTCTCCTTCACTTCTGAGTGAGTGCCCGTAACTTTTCTCAGAGATGAGTCTCCTTTACTTCTGAGTGAGTGCCCGTAACTTTGTCAGAGATGAGTCTCCATTACTTCTGAGTGAGTGCCAGTAACTTTGCTCAGAGATGAGTCTCCTTTACTTCTGAGTGAGTGCCCGTAGCTTTACTCAGAGATGGCTTTCCCTTACTTCTAACTGGTTGGGCATGACTTTAGTAAATTCTCTTGAAAAATTTTATTTCAAAAAATTCTTATGACCCACGTCACGAGCTACAATACCTATAAATGATCCACTAAAAATCGATCCTAACATCGTCATATTCGAGCAATAAATACACTAAACAAACATTGTGCGCGTCTTACAGGTTCTGAACAAATATTGAAAGAATGACATTTTTTCTTTGTCACTAACAACAAATACTTGATGCCACTGGGAAATGGTTTTAGGGCTTCAAATTTCCAATTAAAATGTCATTATAAAATATAGCAGTGGTTCCCAAACCACGTCCTGTCGGCCAATTGCGGTCTGTGTAACAATTGTTTTTCCCTTGAATAGATAGCCAATTGTTACACTGTTATAACAGTTTAAGAACATGTATATTCGTAACAATTTAGTTCTTTATCTTAACAATTCGCCTCCGTGGGCACTCCCCACAGATTTCCATAGGTAAAGAAGCTTTCAGAGGGAAATTAATATGGAACCTTTCTTCAGTTCTTCCACAAATAGTAGGTCCTTGTATGAGTGCTTGCTTGTCAAAAGCCTAGTTCAGAGTGAATGTGTGAAAGCTTCATAAAAATACCAAAAACTTTTCCCATTGAGTGTCAGCTTTATCTTGTGGTAAATTCCAGCTTTTAAGTCAATTCAACTTCAAACAATTCTCTATTCTATCCTTTAGTTCCCTTTGGTAATTTAAAATTAGTGAAAGGCCTCCGCTGTAAGCCGATAAAACCAAAGTATAAATACCACAGTTTATATTGCAAACGTAAGCCTATTGTCCACAAAACAAACTAAAACCTCTGGTTGCTCAATTCTTTTCAAGAAAATTTGCTCAAAGTAAAATCACGCCCAAGATTGACTTTTGAAAAAAGTTACGAGCTATTGATGAAGTGTCAAGAGCTACTGAGATGATAAACAATTATAGTGGTGAACAACCAGCGAGTAAGGGTGGAATAAGATTGGATTTACATACTTATCCCAGGGGGGAGGGAAAGGCGATAATGCTTAATAATTATGGCAAACCACGGCCTCTCCTCCGGTTAACACTCCATGTCGAATATGGGATTAGTTAGCCAGTTATTTGTTTTCGGAAGCATGGACTTGGTGCTGGAGGAATTCGTAACCAACTAGCATAGACCGCCCTACGGCGGCGAGGAGTTCAGAATCCTCTCGCATACAATTATCTCAGCATGGGATTCAAACCAGCGAACCCGTTCAAGTCAATACAACCAAGAAAAAACACCTATGAGGTGATGTAGGTAGGAGGTAGATGATGTAAAAAAACTGGTGCTAAACAATATTGGGGATCCGACTTGATTAAATATTAAATTCAAAACCACTGCCGTTTTACCTCATCCACACAAGAAAAATCACTGGTGCATGACCAGTCAGAATAAACTTAATAAACCAAACCAATGGTGCGTAACTGGTCAGAATAAACTTAATAAACCAAATCAATGATGCGTAACTAGTCAGAATAAACTTGATAAACCGAACCAATGGTGCGTAACTGGTCAGAATAAACTCATCAATCCAATATTCCTAATGAAGCTTGACAATAAAATTAAAATCTATTAGTGAATCTAATACAATTGTGCCCATTCATTGAGAAAAACCAATGATGCATGGCAGGCCGGAATAATCTCATTAAATCAGAAAAGCCTATATATGAGAAACATATGTAGTTCGCCGAAACAATTAAATTATGATTCTGGCTATCTACCAAGGAGAATCAATGAACTACTTCCATGAATAAGAACTGAATAAAGTTAGTTAATAAAATTGAAATCTTATATTGAATATATTACGATTCCAGTCAACTATATTTTCAATAACTAATATGAACACCAATAAAAATTGAAATCTTTATTAGGAATATTAAAAATCCGCTCTCCAAACAGTACATGAACCGCTGTTTTTATATCGATGTTACAATAATATTTGCTCATACCAGTATCAACAAAACCCTTTTAGCTGTATAAACAGAAACCGATGAAAAGATTTCTATCAATAAATCTATAATACCTGTTAAATACTGTTTTTTCACAACCCGAGATGGTTTTGTGGGTATAGCACACAGCCATGATTTTTAATTGTTTCCTTAGCTTGTGGCATCCGAGTAGCGACTCAGAGATGAGTCTCCTTCACTTTGGAGTGAATGCGATTGACCTTGTTATGAGCTCATTCTCTTGCCCGACCAATATTTTTTCAATTACAGGAAACAAAGTCCATACAAAGCCCTTTTAGTCATATAAGAAAGACGCTTGATGGAATTATAGTTCAACTCTACAAAAATTATCAAGTTTATCCAATTTACAGGCTAATTTTTGATATGTGACACAAATGTGAGGTGTTGACATAGAAAACCAGTATCATATTTCAATTTTTATTGACGAGTTAAATAATACTGTGGTTCTCATTTACTGGCTTTCTGGTTCAATGAGTCTATGCCACCCTGTCACTTTTGCTAGACAAACTTCTTTGTTCATCATGATATTCTGTCCCTAAGTTGCAAACAATTAACGAAGAACTACTAAGAGTTGCATGTATATGAATTCATTTATGCTGAGCACCAGTTGACATGAGAATTGAACAATTCAATACACTACAGCGTCGAGGAAACTTGGATGAGGATGTATGTGGACCTGACATGAACAAACTATGGCTCGTAACCAGGGTTATTCAATCTGGCCCGCCTGATGTTGCCACAACCAAACTAAAACCAAATTTTGATGTTTTAGTTAAAAAATAGCTCAAGGAATTTGTTACGATTGTGATCAAATTTAATTTCGGCACGAGGCTTATTGTTTTCCCCTTTTGCTTTTGTAACACTGTAAATATTGTTTATAAAATGTAACTCTTCACGTCACACACACATGGCCCGCCAGTCTAACGGCCGCTGGTCGAAAAACCTTGCTCACCCCTGATGTAGATGATGTCAAGTAAACCTTCCATTATTCCCAACTGAATAGTTGCAAGCAATCATTGAGGACTAAGCGCATGTAGATTTATTTATATGTAGGAGCCAGTTAACACGAAACTTGAACAATTCAAAGTTAAAACTGTTATCGCTTTAGACCTTTTCAAGAAACCTGAACAATTCAAAGTTAAAACTGTTATCACCTCATACCTTTTCAAGATTTTGCAAGAATTCCGCTTTACCATCAATACTTTTAGCCGAAGATCCCTGAGAACCATTAAAAGGATTGGTTGAGTGAGGGCTGCTATGTCCACTGTCACTTTCTTTGGATGCCTGGAAATAGGATTGGATTTTCAATTTAATACTGTAATACTTGGGGAGAGTTGGTAAGATGGCTTAATCATATGGCAAAACATGGCCTTTCGTCCGGTCCCTAATCCATTTTTGATTGCACAGACTTAAAGGCGGAGGAAGCCGTTTCGCAAACTATGATTCCCAACTGTTTTTTTTACAATCTATCTCACGGGAGAGAAAAGTTGATGAGACGGCGTAACCGGCGATTCACAGCCTCTCGTCCGAATAACTGTATCTATAGGATTAGTCAGCCAGTTAATTGTATCAGTGACTGGTACACATAATTATTCCCCACATGTGAACCCACGCAGGGTGATCAGAGATGCAAAAGAAAACAATATTTTCACTAATTAGCACGTTGCATCAAACGGCCACCAAACAGAGGAAGAGAATGAGTGATATGAATAATCAGACACCCACATATCTGCACATTCTTATGTGATTATTTCCATTTTTCTGAAAATGAGTAGCTCCTTACATTTCAGTTGTTGCTTACTTCTGTATTTGGAGCCTTGCTTGGAGTGAACGTGTGATTAATGATCCATAAAAATGACTATGAGTTGGTTGTTAACAGGCTTTCCCTTTACTTCAGTACTTGGAGTTGAATAAAAAATCTTGTCTCAAAAGTCACATGATTTGGCATAGATAGAAATATTTTACAATATAATCACCTTCAGTGCGTTTACATCATCCCTGTTCTCACTCCCTTCATTACTTGGGAGCAAAATCCCGCTATCGCTTCGGTTTCCTAGTTTCACTTTGGACAATTTCTTCTCTGTGTCTTTCAATGCATTCTCCATGATATTCTCTGGGAATTTTCAATAAAATACGCCGTTTCAAAATTAACGAATCTTTTTATGTTATTTTTTCTGGTTGATAGATTATATATATGGCAAAAACGATTTTTCTCTCTCTTCTAAACTGCCTATTTCTTCCCCAAACTTCGAAATATTAGAAACACGAGACTTCAAAACAATAAGCGACAGGCAACGTATCGCGAATATCAAACGAATGGCACAGGAAAAGATTAATTTTTGTTTACAAATTCTCAGCGCTAGCGGTCAGACATGAGTGTTTGAGCATTTCACATTCGGGTATATTTTTTTTCTTTTAAGATATAATATAAGATTTGACATCAGAATGAATCTCTCAAATTGAATGCGCTAAATCAAACAACATTTTGAATAGAACTGTCGAATAGTCATCTCATAAACTTACGAAAATAATAAGTCGTAAATGATAAGTCTTCGTATGTTTGCTCTTCTTTCTCTGTTATCAAGTTTTATTTGGTTTTATCTATTATTTTATCGCCCGTCATGCTGATTATAAGGAATCGAAATAAACCTATACCTAATAAAAACAGATATATTCATTTCATTGACGCACATCTAATGGATTGAATAAACAGTCGGTAACAGTTATTGATTTTAGAAAAACCGCCGACGTGACGAAAACATCGTACGCGTTCACAAGAAATTAGACACCTGAAATACGTCAAACAATCGCCTCAAAACAAATACTGGTACAAATTTTTGCCCACATTATTTTCAGAATTAAACTGAAATTTATTCATTGATTAAGAATAATAATAAAAACTCTGAAAATCATACGAATAAAACAACAATAAAATGATTCTTCAAATTTATCTCTTTTTCTACCAGTTTCTGGAATCTATTCATTTGTTTGTAGTGGTGTCGCTGCTGAACAACGGCACCGGAATTGTTGTTTATGACCTTCCACGAAATTTATTTGGAATTTGTCGCGATGTTTTTCGTGCAAATTCTCACTGTAAGTTAGCGATGTTTGGCGAGTAGAATGAATTTTATTAAAATTAGAATTAGATTGGACGATTACCGTATTGCATACCGGTATCTCTACCGGGTATAGGCAATTTTCGGTACCGGTATTCTACAGCGCAATTTTACCTACAGTGTTAAGTTTCATAGACTACGGTACCTAGTTGACGAAAGCCTTTATACAAAAAATACAAAAATAAAAGCATGTGTGGATAGCCTAAAAGTAAATAATCTTGGCTAGATTGTCTATCATTGCTGCATTGGCTGGGCATTCCTGCATTCAGTCACTTCTTTCTTTACCTACAAAACTGGCTCGATTGCAAGTTCTGGAGATATACGGTAGAAATGCAGAAATGACGCTCTTACACCCAAATATCTTCAAATTGAACTGCAATAAAAATTAGTGTCTCAAACTATACTTTTTTGGATATTTAGAAGGGGTCTGGTATAGTTTAGTAGCACATGGCCTGGCTCAACAATTTTTGCATATGTCGATCCTAACCTGACTACGGTACGTCACCGAAAAATTACGTCATTTGGACGTCACGGTGGCGTAATAAGACCCACCAAAGTATGCGGATGGTCGTCCAATACGCGCATACGATCACCCGAAATCGAGCAAGCTATTTCTCTCGTTTTTTCGTCACAACGATCACCGTAGGAGTGAGATCGTCGGCGTTAGCGAGTTCGTTATCGGCGGCGCAGATGCCATTTTGGGCGATTGTAAGTATACTTTGGCAAGCCACATGATGTGATGGTGACGTCGTAGTGTTGTAATTTTTGGATGGCATAGTCTGGTGGGGGTTAGGAATAACATTTGCAATATTCGTTATGCTACACCCACTGGAAGTACTTGTGGTACTTAACTATACTAGACCCATTTAGAAGTATACCGAACCGGTGGCGGTACTGGTGTGAGTGAATGTATTTGGTTGCTCATTTCAGAATTCGGATTTCTTCAAAGACCTTTTTCTTTTGGTTTAAGGTAACGTGGTTAGACTACAATATGCCTTTGTTTGCTGGGCATTTACCTGTACAGGAAAAAGATTTTGATGACGCTCCACAAATAGCTAACCAATTGGATCCTGAAACAAAAGAGACTTTGCAATATTTAAAGAGAGGGGATCTCGGGATCCCAAACCATGCTCTAAGATGTGCGGCTTATCAGTATGCTGGTCAATGTGTTGATGTAAACAGAGAATACATGCTGTGCAAACAGGAAGAGGGAGACCCAAGAAAATGCTTGAAGTATGGAGACAGAGTCAGTGAGTGTGCTGCAAATTTTTTCCGCAATGTTTCAGAGGCTTGTACGGATCAATTTGTGAAAATGGCGCAATGCGTTGAGAAAACAAATTCTCGTAAATTGATTTATTGCCGCGCTGAACAACTCGCTCTCGACACTTGCATGTTCGAAAAACTAGGATATGATAAGCTTCCGGACGCAGGAGTCTACTCGGATATAGAAGTGAAAACAGATCGTCCCAAGCCGAAAAATCCTTACAACTTCCGACCCATTATTGACAGCAGGAGACTTCCGGCAGAAGATTACTTTGAGCGCCCAATCGGACAAACGAGAGACGGCGACGAAAAGAAATAATTATTGATATTGAACTTCACAAAACTAAATAACTTTTTGATTATTTATTATCTTGAGTTCCATAGACTTGAAAAACTTGGTGTTTTTGATTATTTGCAAACGAGCAAAAAGGATCCCCTTATTGTTATATACATGCACAACTGGCATGAAACCAAATTTGTGTAAGTTTTGTTAACGATTCAAAAGTTTATACGCACACATTTTTCTTGGGATATTTGTAAGCATTTGGAATGTTTGCAACCCTGTATTGTTTGTAAAGTGGAAAAATTATCTTGTTGGCCTTTTCACTAAGTGTGCATATATTTAACAATATTAGGTCTGGCAGCAACCTACTTCTCTTTAAACCTAACCATCTTTATCGTATTTCAATTGAGTTATTCAAAAAATAAAGTGTTGTGTTGTCCTGCACTATATTTGAATTATGTTGTTAGCAAAATGCCACCATTTTCATGTTTTATTGATATCCCGCCATTTTATGCTCCTTTGGTTTTTGATGAAAAACCGGGCCAGATTAAACAGATTAGATAAGACCAATCTTTCCAAATGATATATTGTGTTTTTTTGCTCAAGGATTTTTAAAAAGGACATTGAATCTAAGCGAAGTAGTTTTTCTTCTATTTTTCATTGAACTGCAAATGGCAAGACGGAGATTGCAAGCGGCTGTTGCTCTTGGCAAAGAAATAGATCTATCCAACTGGGCGGCAACTCCTCATTGTGAGGATGAAGTTAATTTTTCAAAGATCGAAAATGTGAAGGTGAATTTGAATTTTTATCTTTTGTGCATTTTGTGATTTATTTTATAGGCGCAGTGGTAGGTTTACAGGTGCACCGCAAGGCAAAAATCTTGATTTCACCATGCCGCCCGGGGTGTGATATAAACAGGCAATGCTGAAAACGGAAGAGTCTGGTTCCTACTAATATATTAGTTTGTGCATCAGTATAGTTAGATGCGTGTACAAGGTCTTGTCTTTTCAATTGTTTGAAGATCCTTTTTGGATGAGCTTGAATATGTCTGTCCAACATTTGCTTCATTATTGCAAAATCTTCCCCGTTTTTCCTAACAGTATTGGCTTAACTTCTTTTAGATCTCATATCAACAGTTGCTTTGAGCAAACTCTCATGTGTAAGTGGGCACTTATAATTCTTCCATTGGTATATTTGGATGTGGGTCATCAGGTTAAGCATAAGTATAAATTCTATTTTTTATTCAGAGCCATGCGCTACCTCTCCTCGACAAATGGGGAATCTACAGTCTACAATACAGCCATGACGGAAAATCACTGGCAGTTGGATTTGGAAACGGAGGGGTTCTGAGCATCGATAACGAAACAGGACATCTACGAGAGCTAAGCCTCGGCCACCAACGAGACGGGCTTGCGATTATGGCTCTCTATCACCACCCTAACAAAGAAAACATGCTTTTATCCGCTGGAGCTTCCGGGAACATCCATCTTTGGGATTTAGCCAGTGCTGGCTCGTATGAACCGGTTGAAACCGTCGTCGAGGACAATGAAATTAACGCTCTTGATTTCAGTCTCGATGGTTTTGTGTTTGGCACAGTCGGAAGAGATAGGAAAATCCGAATTTATGACGGAAAGACTTTACATCTGCTGAAAGAGCTGGAAGGACCTGAGTATTCTACAACTGATGATACAAGTGTCTATAGGTGAGAATATATGTTTGTTTTCATACTGTACTCTAAAATTTCACTGCAAATGCTCTTGAAATACACACCTGGTAACAAGAATTGTTTAAAGAGCTGATTTTTAAAGCTGATATTTTGTTGCGGAAAGTAGAGAATCTATGGCCAGTATTTACTTCTAAAATGTAATGTCATAATAGTTGATTCAACGAAAACTGGAAGCGCCACTTGCTGGCCAGATGAAGTTCATTCCTCACTTACATATCTTTGATTCATTCATTTTTTCTTTGATTGATTTCTCTTGATTAATTCTACAATATTTCTGCCATTACAAAACTGAACGCTCGAACTGGAATGTACCATAATCCCACATCCATTCAGCTATTCCTTTAGTTAATAAATATTTCTTTCCAGCGGACACACCAAGAGGATCTTTGCCTTGAAATTTCACCCTGAAGACAACAATCTCTTCATCACAGCAGGATGGGACAATTGCCTGAAGGTTTGGGACAAACGAATGGCAAAGAATTGCAAGAAATACATCACTGGTCCTCACATATGTGGACCTGCTTTGGATATCTGGAATGATCAAGTTCTAACTGGTGAGGTATTCGGTTTTGTGTGTTGCCTGACACATATTGCTTTCTTCACGAATGGCCAAATGTGTCATATTGTCTGATATATTCAAAAGTATAATCAATATAAATTTTTGATTGAAAATTTGTCATTGAGAAGTTATACATACTTCAGACCCAAACTACATTTCATTTAAGGTGTGCTAACAGTACGAATATAAAAAAAACACATTTAGAATACTTTTGTGTGAAAGATTCTCTTTTACAGCTATTGAGAATTTTCCAATGAGACACATTTTAGGTTTTAAACTGAATGAATCTAAGAAAAAATGTCTCGACTTTTCTACATTTATTTATCCCCTTGAAAGTACAATGATTTATGGATGCTCTCTCTTTCTGCCAATTTGGAATATATTCACTTATAAATGTTTTTTGGTACTATTCCTCCACCAGAGTTCGTTCAAGTGTGACAGGAGAGAAATATTATTAACAGACGCTTGCAAATGCTGCTAATTTTCCTGTTTGTTTACCTAGCCTACCTGTTCATTCTAGCGCTTCTCCAAACTTTATATCGCTGTATGCAGCATAGAGTGAGAAACCTTTGCAACTAGCAAAGTTAATTGTATTATTTTCAATCTTCAGGGTCTTGGAGAGCTAAAGACGCATTGCAACTTTGGGATTTGCGTTGGGAAACATCGTTGATTAAAGATATTCCGTATCCACACGATGAACATCATGAAGGTGTGTACTTGCTGTTATAATAGATAGTTGTCATATAGGGCCAAGCTAAGCATTATTTTGCTAGGGTTTGCAGGTTTGGATCCTGTGGGGATAAAATTACCATTCAATTGAGTGGATTCCAAACTAGATCAAGAAAATTTTGTTCCAGCAATGATGTAAAATAGTATTTTAGGATCCAATTTTAATGTTTCACCCAGGGGAAGAAAATCGTATTTATTGTGGCATCCTTATCATATGTCTCTCATCTGGTTACCAGTCCATGTTTGGTAAAGGTTGCTTTTTGCTTCAGGAACACTGTGTTAGTCATTAAATGGAATCCTTATTGTAGTAATCCTATTATCTTTACTGATCTCTTAAACTCTTGAAATTTGCTAGTTTTATTACATCGGCAAACATGTCCGAGGTTTCATAAAACCTTTGGTAAATAGATTATCTGCTGAAAGCATTGTATGGTTTTACTGCCAAAATAAAAGATTAGTATGTGAGAGTAGCATAAAGGGTACATCCGTTGTCATGGTTATTACACGCTGGAAATTAAATTGTATTAAAATCTATCCCAAAACAAATACATCTTGTTGAAATAGTCAATTGCAGTGATTTTTGCAAATTTCTCTGGTGAATGTTAGTTACCCAATTTTTTATATTCAGTGTACCGACCATTATTCTTTGTAATTTACAGGCATTTTATATTAAGCGTCTTGATTTATTGGCTTCTTGTAATGAACAAAGCATATTTACACAGACTCTCTTTTGTTTGTTATCGACTGCTTGGCTGTATTTGTTTGGCAGTAATTGTTGTATACGCACATAAAATATGGGAGGCGGAAAAAATTAAAATAGAATAAACAATGAAATAAACCAACCACCCGTTGTGATTATATCGGCGTAATTTGAAAATTTGGTTTGAAAAAATATCAAAATATGTGCGTTCAGAATTCAATTATGAAATATAACTATCATTTGGAGTTATATCTGTAGGAATGTATTGGAAAAATATGAAAATTAAGTTTAAAAAAATTCGAATTCATTGTTTCTTATTAAAAGTGTGCGTTCTTTTGAAATTTAGGTGTATGAGAGAGTTCTGCGGAACTAATTATTTTTCTTCTATGCTTTTGCATTGGTGGATACGTATGCGTAAATAAATATGTGTTGCAGTAAAATTTAAAAAAAAGCAAAATTTTATCCCAACTTCCCAGTTGGAAAATGCTGTATTATACTATCTTACCGAATTAAAGAAACATGAAAAATCCAACTTGATATCTAGATTGAACCAGCACTTCCATATTACTTTCAGGTGAATTTCTATACTGCCTTTGCTACAAATGCAAAATTCTTACTTTCAGGTGAATTCCTTTACTGTTGCCAGTTCGCGTCAGGTGACACCATCATTGCTGGAGGGAGCGGAACTAATAATGCTTGCGCTATGTCAATCAAGTCTTGCGAGGTGAGGCTTGGTTATTTGTGATTTACTTGAAGGATTTATTCGCTCTAATTTAACATGTATTTTATAAAAATTCATGTGAAGAGAGATCTTACTCTCAAATCTTTTGTTCAATGAAAAGTTTAGGGAGCGGATGAAGCATTTACAGGGCCATCACGAAACGGCTTTTAATTTAGCAGCTCTGTATCTAATGTGCAAATTATTTAGACTTGCTCATGGCTTCATTCAGAGCAGAACATAATAAATACGGGTATTGTTGTTTGAACATAATCTATTTCCGCTTGTAACTCTTTCCTTTATTTCCACAGTTAACAAAAATGGTTAGAAAATGCTGTCTTCTCAGGGCTTGCTATGGATCTGTTTGTATAAAACAATTTGAATCTATATATATGAACCCCATGAACCCCTTAGCATCCTATTATATTTCAATTTTCCTTATTTCCCAGGTCCTTGGTACAATACAGTCACCCAAGCCTATCATGGCATTGGATATCCATCAGAGTGGAGGTCAGTTTGCAGTCGCTGGAATTGATGGACATTTGCATATTGGACAACTAGCATAGGAAGTGGGATATAACATTGGGTGCACATATCTGGATAGTTTGGTTTTCTGAGTTTTTTTTGTCATGGTTGGTGGTCTATATTGGGCCATCTAGCAGTGATTAGTATTGTCTGTGCGTACATGTCTGAGTATTTGTTGTAATGCATTAGGATGTTTTTGCTATTAATTTACAATTTCCACCAATTTATAAATTTGTTATTTTTTTCCATCCCAATTTATCTACTGCTTGACCATTCTGTCATGCTTTTTGAAAAGCACCTACTGGTGCCAATGTAAATTGCTTGGTTGCAATCATCAATTTTGAGCCTCATGTTAGTCCTTTCATTCTGGTAGTAATCATATATATTTAAGCCTTGCTCTCTTGGTTCTGTTTGTCAAATACTTGGGAACACTGTTATATGACATCTTGGAACACTGTTAGTATATCACCATAGTATCCTTATACTCAAGCATTGTCTTTTTCTGTAATTTGTAGGAACACTTTATATGACATCTTGGATCATTGTTGTTAGTTATTAAGAATTCAACCATAGTATTCATATGCTTGAGCATCTTTCTTTACTAAAATTCACAGGAACACTGTTTCATGACATCTTGGAGCCCTTTCATCAGATATTTTACTACCTCCGTGTCCATTACTGTTCAATTTATGGGAACATTGTGGTAAAGTGTTATTAGGCTTGTCCGTATATTTTAGCATTGCTATCCTGTTTTATTCATTTACTTACCATCGCTAGTGTTCCTCCTATCTGTAAATCCGTTCCAAAATTATTCAAAAAATTGCAAAATTTACTACATTACCTTGAAATTCTAGATTTTACCTCAAATTCTTCAAAACTGTAATTTCTTTTTAAAAATCGTTTCCAGTGAATATTTTAAGTATATTTTTGTATTTGTAAAGTGTTACTGTGTTCTATATTTGCTGTGCATATTATATATAATTCTAAATTGTTGTCCACTGAAAATACTGTTGCAAAAAAATATTGTGTAGTTTAGGTATCAAGTTAAGGCACCAACTGTATCTGTATGCCTTCTGTGAGAAGCCTTTTCCCTGCTTAAGGTCAAGCAAAAACTGTTATGTAGTGAGCCACAATATAATTGTATAACTCTGACCACTGAAAATTCTGCAAAAATGAGGTGAATTTCAACGGAAGTTTCTTTTTACTTTTAATATATTTTGTATTTGTAAAGTGTTACTGTGGTTATAGATTTGCTGTGTATATTATTAGTTTGATAATTCCATATCTCTGTCTGTGACCATTACGTCCACTGAAAAATCTGTTGCAAAAACTCATTGTGTAGTTTTAGAATCGAATTGAGTTAGGTTCACTTAGTGGGATATTCAGAAACTAACATGCAGGGGCATCTATAATATAATCGTACATCTCTGTCTAACGAAATAAAAATAATTTGCAAAATATCGAGAAGGAAACAGTAGTATTAGTCATTTTGTGATTTAGGCCACAATGCCGCCATCGGTGTTATATATGCGCTTCCAAGATATGTTTTCTCTCTGAATAAGACAAAAGGTAATCTCCAACTAATATTTAGGGACCTATAAAATAATTGTGCAACTCTAGACACTGAGAATTCTCCTGCAAAAATCATTGTGATATTGGATTTGCAATACTCAAATACATTTTACACCCACTGTATACTGAGATTTTTTGTAATATATATATTAGGTATATGTGTTAGCCCTGTGCTTTTGTTATGTATTATGTGACACCATTATGCCACTTTTCAGTTAGTTTTTCCAACCCATCCCAATCAAAATCTGAAAAATTCCATTTGATACAAAAACTTGCCAGAAATTTGAAAAAAAAAGAATCTTCCTAGTTTTCATTTATATTTGTCCTTAGTGCCTTATGGTGTTTTAGTTGTAGAAGTTTGTAGATTTATATTATTTTGTACTTAATACATGTTTCTGAGTTAATTTATGTGTTTGTTAATAAAATGGTAATCGGATGGAATGGAACGATTCTAAAAAGTCTCTTTTCATATCACTAGAGAGGACAGGAAAGTTTTCAGTCTGTCATAATGAGAGTTGATAATTATTTGGTCACCATATAATCATATCAGTGCTGAGAATGTTTATGTAACAATTTATTATGATAGACTCAAGCTACCTAAATGAAAGGACTCATGGTCAACTAGCCACCAGTAAGACTTAACTCGACTTCAGATTACGCGTTTTAGATTACCGGTACACGTTTGAAATAAAGGGTGTCTATCAAGTATTGAAATTTTTTACAATTGCGAAGGGAATTTATCGATATCATATATTGTTTTGGCCCTCACAGATGCATTCATTGAATGAAGTAAAAATACTTAAACAATTACTGATCAAAAAACAATAAACCTGGTTAAGAGATATTGAGAGCTGACTTCATAACAAAATCGAAATTGTAGGGGGTTTTATGGACTCTAATTAAGTAGTGTCGTCCCTAGTTATGGCCCTATACTAGCCCATTTTTTTTAAAATTTGAATTGAAGTGACTCAAGTCTATACGGAATGGCTCTGACTAGTAATCACCTAACTGCCAGTGACACTCAAACCAGCGATCGACTAGGACAGTGCTCCGCAACCGGTGTGCCGCGAGACGATGCCAGGTGTGCCGCACAGGAATTGCAATTTTTCTCTTCTTTTTACAATTTTTTTTATCCTTTGTTAATTTTACGTTAGTCTACTACTCTACTAACGTAAAGTTAACCTGCTTTTTTATGTTAGCTTGAGCGACACCAATTCAAATTCCTGACTCCCCCACTGTGCATTTGTGACGTAACAAGGAAAGGAATAGGCCTATATGTTAAGAAAATTTCTTTTAAGTAAGAAATGACTGAACGCTAAGACTGAAATTCAGCGAAATTCCACTTGATGTGTTTTGGATTTCAATAGAAGAAGAATATGAGCACATTTCCAATGCAGCTATTAAAATATTGCTCCAGTTTTGCACAACTCATGTGTGCGAACAAAGCTTTTCCTCTTTATTACTCATCAAAAACGATAAACGATCCTGTATAAAAGATGTTGATGGCGAACTTCGAGTTGCTCTTTCAAGTATTGTGTTGAAACAACCACAAATCTCTCATCGAAATATAAACACAAAACAAAGTTATACTTTGTTATTTTCGTTTGTTGTGGTGTGCCGTCGAATTTGACAAGATTTATAAGTGTGCCGCAAGTTAAAAAAGGTTGCGGAGCACTGGACTAGGATGACATGCGACTTGGTAAATGTCCTATCCACTTTCCTCTCTGGCTCTTGCTCGATTTCTCTTTCAATACCAGGAACCATCTTAGCCGGCTGACTTACAAAAACTACAAAAAGACACCGCATATTAAATTTTCAAAGAAAAATTATAATATTATGCAGAGACATTGTTCGCAAACAATAATATTAAAAATGTGTGTATTTATATATTAGTATAAGTTTTGCAATTAGAATTTGTGATGCAATAAATGTTGTCAGTTGGGGAGGGTAACAAAATAGAATGTATTTCAAACTATTTCAAGCGAGTTTACCCGCAACAAAGTCTCCAGTATTTTAACGGCATACTCAGAGGAATCGCAGGCAAAAACACATGACTTCAACCAACTCAAGTTGACAGCGATACAAGAATTTTACGAAAGAGCGGTTAGGAAGCAAATAAAGGTTAGGTGATTGGATAATTTTATAATTCTGGCATTTTTAATTATTTAATTTAACTCATTAATTTAATTTTAATTCCTTAAAGGTTCAATTCACGATTAAAATCATTCAGCTTTCCTCATTTTTGGGTTTAATATGAAACCCCATCCTAAGCTTGACAAAGTTATTGTTTAGTCACAGTTTGCCACACAATGCATTAAACAAAAAAGACGCAGATAGAACTCTCGTGAACTTTTAGTACCGTTAGATATAGGAAAAAAAGTGGCCGTTCTTCCATGGCCATGTGTAATACAAGATATGATATAACGTAGTTAAAGGACTTTGAGAACAATATATATTAATATGTTCAGAGAAAATCACCAAATGAATTATGGGACCAAGGTTAGAATTCCTAATGCGAGTATATTTCAATAATTTATCATAATCCATTTATGTTAGTGTGTAGCAAGACTGTTGGATCATTTAGAATAGTCAACTTTATTCTTGCTGCAGCATCCTTGCATTATATGCATACGATTCCAATAGCATAGAAGAAGGACAAGTCAGGAAGGACATGTCAGGTATGGTCTTACGTAGACCCAACTAATAACTATTTTTATTTATACCCGTCCCAAAGACACAGTCGAAACTTTGAATAAGTTAATGGTTGTAGCCTGGTATGAATTGAAATTTTCAATTGGTGTTTAACAGGGCCTGTTATTAAAGCTAACATTTTAATAGTGAAAAAAATTTGGTAAAAAATAAATTCTCTTCCTAAATTAAGAACCACAGATGGGACTTTGTTGCTCTTGAGTGATATCGGAGCTGAGGCATTTGCCAATCTAGATACCAGCAGATTAACTGGTGTTTCTGCCAGTTTTTGAAACAACATGTTTCAATTTGAAACAATTCATACATAACAAAAATATTGTTAATTGAAATTGAAGTTTCTAAGATTACAAATAAAATTACTTCCTTGTTCCAAAAGCAAACCTGAGATGACCTTTGACCTTGAAAACTAGTGAAGCATGAATATTCACCCCAATGGATTGAATTTAACAACAGTCACCGTTATATCATCTCTATAAAACCGAGATTCGCGCTGCGGCAGATTTAACATTGATCTGACTTGGCGACGGGACGAACCATCGAACGTTTGACCAATACAATGTCGAATTATATTTGTCGCCGCGTTCGTGTCCTCAAAGCCGAAAAATGCAGAGTCGGTGTCTAAAATATCTGAAGCTGATATGTCTGCGTTATTCATGTCTGTCTTCCCTTCCATTCGGTCGATTTGCTCTCCTATGAGTTGTATGACGTAATGCTTATGCATCGTCTCCCACAGTCCGTCCGTTGCAAGGACCAGAAACGCATCGTTAGGTTGGATTTCGTGTTGTATGATATCTGGCTTGGCAGTGAGATATGGTGGTGATCTGTGAAAAATATGGCAGAATATTTAGGCCTGGATTACTCTGGTAAAATTCTGACTTATCTGGCCATGTACAAAAATCTACTGATATCAGACAATATGTAACAAGCTAATATTGTTGGAAAGAGTGGAATCTGTACTGTTTGAACGATGATTTTAATTTGCGGTGCAAACACAGTTAGGCTCACTAATCATTATAAATAGGGACGCACAGAAAATTCAGTTAACATGGAAAGGTTGATAATGATTCATTTTATGAACAAATCAGAAAAAATCATGTACGGGTAAAAGCGTCAGACTTTAAGTATGGTACCATAGCAGGAATCTTAGGTTCATATCCCAAGCCCACCAACTCAGCCAGGTGTTAAATTGAGTGGGCAATGCAGACTGTGAAAATTTGACACTTCAAACTATAGTAACTCATTACCTAACAATAGCCTTTGCTAAAACGAAAGGTTTATGAATGCGTCGTATAAAAAAGGATAGTTTACCTGTAGAATGGGAGGACCCAATTTGATTGGTCAGGAATCCTGTAGTCCCCGCCCACTCCTATATCATCGTCACTGTCGGTTGATAGAAATGCAACTTCGTTGATGGTCTTAGCCGGCCACTTGAATCTTGCGTTACCAAATGCTCGGAATGGGGCCAAACTCCCTGGAATATAGAAAATTGCTTCAAAACAACTGTGTTTACATGTTAGGATGGGATTTACATATTTACTCGGGGGAGAGGAAAGCAATAAGACGACTTAATCATATGGCGAACCACGGCGTCTCGTCCGGTTACTAGTCCATGTCAGGTATGGGATTAGTTAGTCAGTTATTTGTTTTCAAAAACCTGGACTTGATGGTGGAGGAGAGGAAGCCACTCTTTGAAATTTATACTATTACCAAAAAACAGATGATGTGATGTAACCAGATGCTGTTTTCCTGATCATACTGAATTGAACAGCTTCAGGTCATGTGTAAGTTATCATAAACTGGCATCTAATGCATTTTCATAATTCTGTAGATTTCAGTAACTCTTGGCAATTCGGTGGTCGCGAGAGGGAACCTTGCTCAGAAATGAGTTTACTTTCAACGAGTCCTTCACTTTTGAGTGAGTGTTTGTGCAAATTTTCCAAATAAATCCCAATGTTTAATAATATCTTGCGAACCCAGGTTATAATAACTCTCTGTAACTCACCCAGCAATCTCTCATTCTTAATTATGTTTCCTCTCTCAAACTCTGGATGTTCAGAATAAATTCGCTGTTTTTCTTCCTCATTCATTGCATTGTGTTTACGAGAAAGTGGTGTTGCAATCCATCTGGGATTAAAGAAATACCATATTTATTCTGGGAAGTTGAAAGCCAACGAAAGAGGACGCTGAAAGCCGACTTAATCTTATGGCAAACCATGGTCTCTCGCTCGGTTACCAGTCCCTGCGTATGGGAATAGTTGAGCAGTTGATGTTTTAGATACACAGACTTGATGGAGGAAGCCGTAACCTATTAGGGGTGTTCACTTATACATGATTATCCCCGCAGGATTCCACCCAAAAGCGAATACAAAGAGCTGTGAATTTTTAATCTGGATTGAGACAGAACAACTTCATCAAATATTAAAACCACCCTATGACAGTGAGGAGTCCAGCAAACCTCTTGCACAAATTTATCCCCCACACGATTCAAATCTATGTTACTAAATTTTTGGTCACCCCTGATCCATACCTGTCCTTCTTGACCATATCTCTTGATCCCAGAACTGCCCTGCAGTCACCTATGTTTGCCACAGTGATAATGTCCTGTGATATGTGAGCAAAACATGCCACGGCACCTGTGAGTGAAGAATTAAAAAAATGTTAAAATGGGTACTGTAACTCAGGAAAAACAAACAACTAAAACAAAATCACTACAGTAAAACCAAAGAAGTTTATGGCACATTTTTCAGAAATTAACTTTTAATCTTTTGCCATACTGGATCAGGGTCCATGTTTTTGGTCTGGGTTTCAAAGCTGAACTGCTATAGTTTCAATTTTGGTTATAATAAATAAATTGTCACAACAATGACCATTTTCAACCAAACCATTACAAAAATAAGATTTCCTTATTAAAACTTTGTTCTCAAATCCAATCAATTCTCCAAACTGTCTGAAGGGCGAGCAGGCTATACAATGAGGATATGATATAACTCGTCTTTATCATTATCACTAATGAACCTAATCAACTCAATTTGACACTTTAAAAACTAATTAACAGGTTTGGAGTATTAATAATTAATCACTGTAAATCAATATCTAATCAATCAAAGCTATATTGTATTGATCTGTAATGTTTAGGCAAGAAAACAAAAAACCATTGACTTATGGTGGCATATTAGCCAGGTCACATTGGAATATCAGATCTATCAAATTAAAAATTTATTTAGCATGATCTTCATGACCCTACCTCTCCAAGATAAACTGGGTCTACTTTGTGAAAACAAACAATTAAAAAGATTGGCAACGGTGTCTTGATTATGCATTATTGTTTTTTAGCCATTTTTACACTATCACTTCATTCAAAATTCGGCAACTGATATAAAAATTCAACTTTTTTGGGGCCCTCTCTGACATATCACTAAGTCAATACTTCAAAGTTACCAGCAAAGTATTTTACTTACCAGACATTGCACAATCGATGGCTGCAAGGTCAGGCCGAGCATGTTTTAACATTTTATAAACAGTTTGTTTCTGAGCGTCGATTAATATGTCTGAGTCAAGCTCGATACATACATGATGCATTGCATCTTCAATATTCTGGAAATAAAAATAATAAAAATTTAGGCTCAGATTCTACAAGAAACGGTGGTGCAGTACCCCAGCAGAATCCTTTCAGTGCGACATTGCTTGCATAAGCGATTTATTATGCTCAGGTGGTGGGGCGAGCATTGGTCCAAACTAGTGGTTCTCAACCATTTTCTTTTTGTGGCTCATTTTTGTTGCATAATAAAAAGGTGTCCTATTAACTTTTTCATTTCTGGGAAACTTTCCAAAAATATGGCCACCTCCACTTCAATGTTTAGAATGAAAATTACCACTCAGTAGCGAAAAAACAGCATCATCATTCAATGCTACTAAAATCAAAATTTAACTATAGCGACAAAAATGAACTAAATTTATCAATAACTCTAGCAATTTTTGATATGTTTGTGGCCCACCTGAAAATGTTCCTGTGGTCCACTGGTTAAGAACCCATGGTCTAAACCAGGGGTTGGCAACCTACGGCCTGCGGGTCGGATCCGGCCCGCGGAGCAATATAATCCGGCCCGCGACGCTTCACTGAAATATAGTAACAAAACAGCTGTTTTGTTGATTATATTCTTCACGCAAAAGAATTTACGTGTAGACTAAATTATATTATAACGTTACAAGTATATAAGTCCCAATTACTCGTTTAATGAGCCTATTATTTAATTATAATTTAGACAAATGACAACAAAACGCCGAAAAGTTGATGCAAAGTGCAAATGGTTTAATGGCGCAAAAAATATTCAAATGGTCAGTCTTCGCGCGCTGCTTAAAAATTTAATCTCTGATCTGTGTGAAAAAATGTGATTCATCGGTCATCCGTTCGGTTTTTAACTTTCTAAAAATATGTGCGACCCGCCAATGACTTGCAACTTTTAATTTTGGTCCACGAGCGACAAAAGGTTGTCGACCCCTGGTCTAAACGCTAGCGAGAATTGACTAAGTGATATGATTCAACTTGACTTGCGTCTCTGGATCCAGGGACCTCTGCTCTAACTAATAACCATAGTACATAACTTTTATTTTACCGATATGACAATTTCTCCGCTCAATCTCTTTTCCATGAATCTACGTAATCGTTGCACTTGATGGGGACGTAAAGACTTCCCAGGTGGTAGTTTACTGTGTTGATACCTGCAACAAAAAATCTGAAGGTAGCAAGGCTCACAGACAATAAGATCAACTTGTTTCCCAATGATGCCAGTATTCATAGATTACTTTAGGCCTACAATGGGCTTAATGGCTTTATTATATTGACAATGAAACTTCAAAAAAAAAATATTACTAAAAACGAATAATCTACTATTCTGAATAGATTCTAAAATATAATTTTCGGATATGAAATATCAAACATACAAGGTGTCTCTAAAGCCCCACTATAATTTCAATTTTGTTATGAAGTCAGTTTTCAATATATCTTAACCAGGTTTGTTGTTTTTTCAATCAGTAATTGTTAAAGTATTTTTATTTCATTTAATACATCTGTTGAATTCCCTTTGCAATTTTGAAACATTTAGGACTTTATGAACGCCCCATATTGTAAATTGGATCATGTTCAACAAATAACACAGGGAAATCAATGTATATTTAATGAGTTTAAATTTGAAGATGTATGAAAATTGAGATAGGAAATGAATTTATTGGCGTAGTTTATAATTTCTGAAATTAACTATTGTTCACACTGTGAGACTTAAATTGTCGCGCTCAGTTCCGATCTAAAACTCTTACTCAACGTTTTAGTTGGAATTATCTAAAAATGCTTTACTTGTCAAGGCCTAGAGCATTTCCTTGGTTAAAATAAACAAACCAGGACAGCACTTGCTGAACTGGTTAGAGTAAAAGGAAATGATTGATTCTATTGATACAGTTCCTATTTGTATTAATTGCTGGTTATAGAAATGGGAATTTTTTACAGTTTTGAGAAATTGAATGAAGGTTCTTTTCGTGCATACCGTTAGACTTCAATTGATTAAAATGACAATTTTTCAATAAAACTTTTCTATCTTTCCTAAAATCAAGAATATAAAATATTGTAAGTGTTAATGAATCTATTTTAATATTCTGATTCGTTTTGGATATGTCTGTTTCAATGTACGTAAAACATAACTCAAATAAAGCCCAGACTACAAATTTGCTTCCTATATCCAGCATCGCATTTCCACAAATTTTATTGTGTAACATCTCGTCAAACCAGTTAAATTCCTCAGACAAGCAGTTTATAATTATAATAAAATATTTTCAACTAATTCCCCGAAGTCATACACAGGGTGTTTCCCTGGTGTTGGAGCCCAATGCAGAACCTGATAGACAGAAGTGGAAAAACACAACGAATTTTGACGTAAGATATGATTGTGTTTCTGTTTACACTCTAAATATGAGATTAGAAAGTCAAACATAAGGAATAAGTATGGACAAAACCGCACCCTATCCACACCCCTCAACGAACCAATACAGTTTAAGGGGCGTTTATATCATATTGTGAGTTTTTCAATGTTTTAAACTGATTAGTAAAATTAAGATTATGAGATTAAAACAATACTATAAGTCAATCACAATTAGAAACTTGGAAATATCTTGAATATCACCACACCCTAAAGACGCCCATAAAGAAGATGTTAAGGGTAATAGAGGTAGTATTCATATCATATGGAATTTTTTTCTGATGAGTGAGTTTGAAAATTTGGAAGCTGGCATGTCAAAAATATATTAAATGAGCATCGATACTACAAGCTACCTTTTTCATGTTTTATAGTTAAAGAAAACCGATTGAAATAGTGTTCCTCTCGGATAGGCCTGGTATCCTCTTCTAGTTCCTAATGACTAACCAAATTTCTATATTGGACTTTAGAATGTGTTCAACAACATTATTTCAGAATACAATATGTAGAGGGACTACATTCAGATTAATAAAATCAAAGTATTCAATGGCACACAAATAACAGTAACTCAAATTGAAATAAATGACAAAAATCTGGATTAAAAATTGCCCCTGGAACTTGGGGGAAATTTGAAAAAATAAAATCAAATTGCTTCTAGTTACTTTTGCTTCGTACTCAAAATTTAAAATAGTGTGGTCCATTAGCTGCAGAAAAAAGCTATTTCTAAAAAATTTAGCGTAAAGATCTACAGGTTTCCTCCAAATAACACAAAAACTACCCACCATTCAAGCAACGCAGGCCAAGGTTTCCCAGAATCCAAATCTCTCAATGTCACACTCAAATCTTTATGAGGAAGCAAAGCTAATGCCAGATACATGAACAAACGGTCACAAACAGCATTAGCACACTGATGCCCACCATGTCCATCAAATACTCCAAATAGCATGCCTGTGAAACAAAACACCAAAATTTAGTAAAAGGGAAAATTTTAATTATTATAACAAATTATCGGCTCGAATCACAACTAATCAAAGACTCCATCGGAATAGCATTGCTGTAGAAATAACAAAACACAATTTAAGCAAAAAATGTTGTTTTGCCAAAATCTGAAAATTGATTGAGACGAAAGGCTATAGAAGAAATTATATACACAGCATACAGCAGGCTATCGTTCGATTACAAGCTCAGGTATGGGAAAGATATTCACTCTAGATATAAAGTTTACACAAATCCTATCGTACAAGAATAGACTCACAAAATCAAAAATTATACTGGATTACCATGTAAATCAGTTACTTTTCCAAGCAAACTAAGTGTGATTAGAGCAAAATAAAACTACCTAAATCAGTATTGTGATGGAACTTTGCTTGTGCTCTTCGGTCCTCTAGTGGTGAATTAGACGGCAAAATGTTCGAGTCGAAACCAACAACAGGATTCAGATTCTTGCTGTCAAAATCTTCTTTCATCACCATAGACATTTCGTGCTCTCGAAGTATTTTTGTTGCAGCTTCATCAGTTATTTCTTCTTCTGCCATGAAACTGTGTCTGCAGATAAAATTGAATTGAGTCAATATAGAGTACCAACTTGAATAGCTTCCATTATTGTGTAGCATTTTCAAGAATTATTTTTTTCGAAATTTCAACATTGGTTATGGCTTGCCGAGCAATGAATTTATCAAATATGCAAATTATACCTTCCATATTCTGGTCCATGATGAAAGTTTGAGAGTTTCCTTCCAAAACAGTATTTCTTAGAAAATAATTTCCCACGGTTCTTGTGAACGCATATTGCTTGTGAATTGTGTCGATGTAGAATCACATAATTCAGAGTTTTATCTTTCAACAATGATTTTTCAAAAATTTTACATAAATTGTGATTTCTCCATGAGTTCCGAAGCTTTGAGACTGATTTGCACGAATTGTTCATTACAAACTTTGAAAACTAGAAAAATATTCCGATATACTATAAATAAGAATTCGAGTTAATATCAGAATATACATGCCCCCACTCCATTCAGAGTGTAATGAATTGAGATGGAAATACTAACCGCAAAGATTTCGGCTTTCCTGAATATAAATAGCTCCTTACATTCCTACATATTGGTATCATTGCGAATAAGCACCTTGAAACATATTCTTGAGTAAAAACTTAAAAGACCGGAAAAAAGACATAATGTAGCTCCATTTGCTACCGTGTATGTATGTGTATTTGTCTCAAAAATATAACAGTATCTGCATAATAATTAAACAGTAAAACAGAGACGGGAATACATGTTTAAGACCTTACTGGCCTAAGACACGGATGTGCGACATGAGTGAGACTGTAGGTACTGAAACATGCAATTTTCATTTTCCTATATCTGTATATGTGCATCCCTTTCCTCTCCCTGTGATAAAATCAAAAATTCCTATATCAATATTGGGTCTCATGTAGTTTCGTACCTAACATACTTCTAGTGGGCGTAGCATTTCACGTATCAATCCTATCCCCCACCTGACTACACCATCCAAAAATTGCGTCATTACGACGTCACAGTGACGGAATACAGCCCTTCAAACTATAGGAACTGCAATCCAAGACGCACAAACGAGGGGTCTGGTATAGTTTAGTACCACATGCACTTCTAATTAGCCTGGCTAACTATTTTTGCATATGTCAATTTTAACCCCTACCTGACTACGTCACCGAAAAATTACGTCATTTCGATGTCACAGTGGCGTAATAGGGCCCACCAAAGTATGCGGAAGGGCATTCAAAACGCCCAGACGATCATCCGAAATTGAGCAAGCTATTTCTCTCGTTTTTTCGTCACAACGATCCCGATAGGAGAGAGATCGCCGGCGCTAGCGAGTTCGTTATCAGCGGCGCAGATGCCATTTCGGGCGATCATAATTATACTTTGACAAGCCCTATGACTGTATGACGTGATGATGACGTCGTAGTGACGTAATTTTTGGATGGCATAGTCAGGTGGGGGTTAGGAATAGCATATGCAAAATTCGTTATGCTATACCCACTGGAAGTACTTGTGGTACCAAACTATACTAGACCCAAACGAGCACCCGAAATCGAACAGTTATTTCTCTCGTCGCAACGATTCCAATAGGAGAGAGACCGATAACATCAGTCAGTTCTTTATCGTAGGCACCAATGCTATTTCGGGCAAGCGTACGTATATTTGGCAAGCTCTACCGTATGACGTAATTGTGATGTCGTAGTGATGTAATTTTTGGAGTAGTCAGATGGGGGTTAGGATTGACATATCAAAAAATTGTTATGCTACGCCCACTAGAAGTACGTTAGGTACAAAACTAAACGAGACTTAACAATTTTTAGGGTATCAGGGTATTGACACTTTCACTATGCCATCGGTTTTGTTGCTGCAAAATCCTGAAATACATCCACAGATTGAGCTCTCCCCTGACTTTAAGACTATGGTAACATTGTGCACTGGAGTTTTATTACCTAATAGCTCGTAAAGTACCGACAAGGTGAAGAAAACGCAGCTGAAACTTAAATGTGTCAAACCATTGAACTACAGATTCGTCAATAAACTCGCGAAAACGCTGAACGCCGCCGTCCATCCGTCGAGCAGAGCTCCGACCTTTTCGCCAGCGAAAGTCAACGCGCTAGTGTTAGATTTTAATGATGCCATATATGTTAGTGCAACTCCTTTAAAGTTTAGGCGTTCTTTCAGTAATGCTAATAATAGTTTGTACGATATATGCAATATGCAATACATATTATATTACATGTACAAATAAAAATTAATACAAAATTTTTTGAATGTTGATATTCGTATATAATACAGCACAACTTGATAACGAGATCGAAATTGTAAATTAGGATCTGGCATAGTGAAAGCAGAAAAAGTTTTTAGCTGTTTTTCGTGTAAAATATGGCTCCAATTCATTAGGCAATTACAAAGAGTTTATTATGATTCATCGACCCAAAAATTGTTAACAGACAAACTATTACTTGTAATATTCTTAATTTTTCGTGTGTTTGGTCAGACTGAAATACGACGTCTGAATGATCAAAGTCAACTACCGCCCATGCAAGCATTCATAAGATTTGGTTGCCATTATATTATCATTCATCGATCAGACGATAAGAGATGAACAAAATTCATGAAGATCGAAATTTCCCGTATAGACTGATGGTGGTTATGTGATCTATGGGTCATCGGAGTTGGTCACCACCCAAGCGAATATACACAATATTGACCTGCTTTATATAAAATTACGTTGGCGGGAAAACCAAGTCAATTCAATGACTATCACCTCTATAATCATAGGTGCCTACATTGTATATGCACAAGATATTTGTATTGTAATGAATTGAATTTTAACCATAAAATTGATCACACACCGCTATAATTCGTTAGTTTGCTTCGGAAGTAAAAAACTGTCTCATTCATGCACGTTGAAATGCTTGAGAATTTCTGGTCCGCTTTTTTTGGTAATTTTTTTTATCAGCTGGTAGTTTGTTTAGTCATGAGTTTTACCGTTTCAGGTTTTAGAGGGAATGACGTGGGTTTAGTTAGGGTTTCGTCGGTTCTTTATCGTTTAGATTAAATATACAGATATACAATTTCGCAAACGGTGTCCCTCCGGTTAGTTTATGTTTGAAGGCACAGATATGTTTATAGCTTCGGGACGAGAGAGAGAGAGAGATTTTATTTCCACAAAACAATGTCAAAAAAGGACAAGAGTACAGATTTTCATGAAAATACAGTGCAGTGGATGTTTAAACATTGAATTGTGATGGTCAGTATGCAAGACCTTTACAGGTCACCGAGGCTCCCGACCATTTTATTTACGCTGTGATCAAACTGTCAGCATGGATTATCACACTATGAAATTATAAAATAAAGACAGAAAAATGAATGTATGAGTCCGCTGATAAAAAAATTTTCTACTATCCAACACTTTACATTAGATTTATTGTATAGTTCAGAGGGCATGTGTAAATCTTGTATATATATACATTATACGGGTCTAGTATAGTTTAGTACCACAAGTACTTCGGGTGGGCGTAGCGTAACGAATTTCGCATATGCTATTCCTAACCACCTGACTGTGCCATCCAAAAATTACGTCACTACGACGTCACCATCACGTCATAGGGATTGCCAAAGTATAATTACGATGGCATCTGCGCCGCCGATAACGAACTTGCTGAAGCCGACGATCTCTCTCCTATCGTGATGGTTGTGACGAGAAAACGGGAGAAATTGATTGCTCGATTTCGGGTGATCGTCTGCGCGTTTTGGATGACCATCCGCATACTTCGGTAGGCCTTATTACGCCATTGTGACGTCGAAATGACGTAATTTTTCGGTGAAGTAGTCAGGTGGGGGTTAGGATTGACATATGCAAAAATTGTTGAGCCAGGTCAACTAGAAGTACATGTGGTACTAAACTATACCAGACCCCATTATACTACACTTTAATCAAGTGCAATACTGATTCAATCCACAGAACCTGGTTCCGTATAGAAAAGAGATAGATATTTGTCATTTTGTCAACCAAAATGCAAACAGTCAACTTCACAAAAACAAAAAAAAAATTGGCAAAATTAATATAAAAATTGCTGCGTGTGGCCCAGAGCTGTAGAGGTTGTTTCCTTGATTCAGTGTTTTTACATTTCACTTTATATTTTGGAAATTTCAGACCAGAAGATTGACTACATTCAGACATTGCTTTATATTTACCGAGGTATGGTAGTCTACCGGTATGTAATGTATGCAGTACCTAATGCCCTGATCAGCCTGCCGCTCGATTCTCTACTGTGTTTAGTTCTGTAGTTCTTTTTCAGTTTGTGGGGTTTGTTTGACTGTTGAAAAGCCGGAATAAATGATTAAGGGTCAAAGCATGGCGTAACCATTTTTGTGAATGTAATTTCTTGCCCCCATCTACGACAGTGGTTCTCAAACTTTTTTAGCCGCGCCCCCATTTTTAGAATTTGTCAACTCTCGCGCCCCACCTCAAAAATATTTAGCTAACAATAACTCGAAAATAACAGATAGTAAGACGAAGTATGTTTCATTCAAAAATACGTGGAAAATATGTGGATGGAGCGTAAATATACAAAATAACGAAATGTAAATATACAAAATAAGACAGGTTTCGCCCACCATTCGAGAATCACTGCTCTACGGCATCACAGTGATGTTATAAGACTCGAAAAATATTCGGGCGGTCAATCAAGATCACCCGAAATAGAGAAATGATCCAACGAGAAAAAGAAGTTTTACGAGAGTTTGATATTGAGCCTGCTCGATTTCGGGTAATCGTCTGTGCGTTTTAAAAGACTGTTAGATGACAAGGTCAGACGGGGGTTAGAACATAGGCAAAGATTATTTGGCCACCAGGAGTACTTGTGGTACTATACTATATCAGATACGGTGAATGGTGAATCAAACCAACTCGTGAAAAGTCAATGACTCGACTCAACACTAGTGATAACCATACTCCAACACTGATATAAGTGGATATGCCACTGATTTAAGAGTACCCATACGGCACAGTTCTCCAATTCCAAGAATAGTCCAATGTTATTCCAAGAATAATTCCAATGTTAAAAGACATCAATTATAACAGTGATTGCAAACCCCTTTTTTACAAGACAGTCTGGGCCTCCATACTGGCACAAATTGCAAAAACTGACACTATGAAACAGACTAAAAGGAAGTGCAATCTAAAACATTACTATTGGATTGGTTAGAAAAAAATATCTGATTTATCGAAGAAAAGACAATTTCACTGTAGCATCCGAGAGTTTTTAGCATAAAACCTCAATTTGGTCATGTGACGGTCGGCGCACGTCCCAATTAATTCAGTCCCAATTATTATTGATATAAGCATGGCCGGATCCGATACATCTGCTGTCACGCCAAGACACCCTGGTTTCAGATGAAAATTGTTTATTTTATTGAACCGAATGTTGGAACATCTTATGATCTGAGAACTCTGCCCTACTTACTACTATTATATTCTCACAGAAATTTTCACAATGTGTTAAAACTAATCAACATTTTGAAACGACAAAGACATTGGGATATTTTACAAGGATGTCGTTCACTTCATCGTTCGTCACACTCGATGGAATCGAGTTTAAAATCTCAGATGTTCTGGATCCCCCAAAAATTGAGGAATTATCATCCGATTTTCGAATGAAAGATCCAACTAATCTTCTTCTTCAAAGTGAGGTAAGGTCAATTGTAGGATTTAAAATTTTTCATTGTTAATATTTAGAGTGATTGCTTGCAGCAGGGCTGGGGGGCTGGTTAGAAATAACAATGACTCCAGCCTCTACCTCGGCTCCATCTGTTATAATAAGCTTGGCTCCTGTTCCGGCTGGTTAGAAATAACAATGACTCCAGCCTCCACCTCGGCTCCCGCTTCTGTTCCGGCTCCCCATCCTAGTCTCTCAGGCTTATTCATTATAAGCATGTGTACAACTGGTGAGAAACAAACAATATAAGTTCCCCTATAAAGGACAATACAGACAGAATACTTGACATGGCTATATACAGTGAGGCTCAGCTTTCTGATTCCAAGATATTTAGATTCATACAACAAACACTCCATTTGTCACAGGGCAGATGGCACAACGGTAGACGCATAACATCACCCAAAATTTGTTGGCACAAATATAAATCATTTGTGACGTGTGTCGCCTTCACAGGACCAAAATTCTCTCCCGTCGACGCTTTTTCATTCAAAACTTTCAAATTCTCTCGTGATACTCTCTCTCACTCTCGTAATTTTTATTCGAAAAATTATCGAGTATCTCACTCATCTCAGTATAACGTAAAAGGGTGCCGTCCTTTTGAATTGTAAAAAATTGACAACTAAATCAAATCATTGTTTATCTCAACTTTCCTGCATTTCCAAAATCAAACTCACTTAATACATATTGACGTATGTTACCTGTTGAACTCTCTTCAGAACAATAGGCCCGATTCAATATATGGAAACTATTCTCGACCATCCCTGCCTATTGACTATGATTTGTCTCCGTTGGTCGATCATCTATAGTTCATTTTGTTTGGAAGATTTCTGGTTATGTAACATTGCATAATATCATTATTAATATTTGTAACTGGATATTGTTTATTTTGTAAGCGTACTTGTAATCACATGTTTATAAAAAGCGAAGCTCTTCAATTCAGAATACATAGTGATATAATATGTAATAATGGGTATATTCTGAAAATCTGTCAATCTATTGTAAATTCATGAAAATTTAATTCGGCAATGCAAAATAGTTTAGATCAGTGCGTTTCCCAACTGAACCACAGTTTGGTTTCCCAACTGAACCACAGTTTGCTTTACCCAAGGGTTCTGCCCTGACAGTACATTCAAGGGGTTTCACAAGTTTATCTTCAAATCCAAGATAGTCTATCAAAATGTGTAGCCCTATATATTTTATGTTTGCCACCATTATTAAATTTGTGATACCCAAAAGATCGTTTTGTTTTGCCAGTATTAGGTTTGCTTTTATATATTATTTATAGTTTATACAATTCAGACAATAAAAAACTATTGAACAGGGGTTTCCCAAGCCTCTGGAATGTTTAATGTGGGATTCTTTTCATTAAAAAGGTTTTAGACCACTGGGTTAGATAAACGTAATTGTGATTAGGGCTCTTTCCGCAGTGTCAGATCGTGAACTGGATTCATTTTTTGGTACTCCTGAAGTATGTGTACCTGGTTAGGGTTAGGCCATAATTTTATTCTGATTTTTCTTATTTTAGTTCTATTACGAGTTCAGGGACTGTCTGTGTTAGCCAAGTGAATATACCCCTGCCCATAGGTTTTAGTCCCTTTACACAACTTGATGTAAAGTAGGCGAAGAAAATGAGTTACCTCCACATTGGTACAAATACTTTTGGGAGCGCCCATTTTTTGTCTGACCATCAAAAGTGAAATGCTCAAGATGGCAAATTCACTAATGAAAATATTTTACATAATTTCTTAATAAAGGAATTGTTTATATATGGAATGTATCCGTTTAGTTTCAAACATCCCACCTTAATCAATACTCTATATTTCCTGTTTATTTATTTAAATCATCCTGTTCTTGTATTGATTATATGCACAGGTGTTGCATATGCAAATATTTAGTTTTATAAGAAAATTTGCCAAAACGAAAAACATATGCAGTCACTCAAAAGTAAGATCTTCGAGCTACCAAGAGCTTCTCGAACTTTAGGAACCATGTATGATACACGCCACTAACTGCCACATACTATTAGTCAGCAGGTCATTTTTCACACACCGAAAATACAACATCAACAAACAAAGTAAAGTATAATAACAAAAAAATGTATTTCAGCGTGGAGGGAGAGGCAATTACTTAATAACCAACTAATCAACTTGTTATGACTAATTAACGTGTTACGTGGGATAATGACACTGAAGTGACTCAGATATTTCCTGGCTTTAATTAAATGTTGAATATTTTTATCAATAGCCTACTGTTATAATACATTGTCGACAGGGATGGCCATTTCCGAATACTAAACTATTCCGAATACATTCTAAAATCGAAAATAACACATTTTTGTTTTAGTTTATTAAAACCCAGTAAATTAGGAGATAAGCTTTAATAGAAATATCAGAATAAAGCCACAAACCAACAGTATATGTACACAAAGTAATTGATAGTTTATAGCTATCAATAAAAAATAATAGCAACTTGTGACACAGTCAGTTTATTAAAATTATTCACTTTGTACAAATGACCATATGAAAAGATAGCCAAGGAGTTGTCTGACGCTTTCTATCATTGGTACCATGATATTACGATAATAGTCAAGTCTATTGACAAAAATACTACTTGTATTCAGATAATTGTGTATATTTTCTGAGAGTAATAAAATTTATTGGCAATACAGGCAACAACAATCGAAAATCCATTATGCCTTTGAAAATTCCAATATTTAAGCTTAGAGTATTCTACTACCTACCAGTATATTTGTATATCAATTTATGTGAACCATATTGTTAATATGTGTAACATATTGTTGTGTTTAAATTAGAAATAAATTAATAGAGAATAGATGACCACCACTGCCAGCCGTGCAATCTTGCCAACTCGGTATCGCCGATAGAAAAATCTCAAATAATGATATAAAATCCTGTTAAGTGTAGTGTATAATTCATTTCATACAATGAATATACATATAAAGTTTAGCAGTAAATTAAAAATACATATTCATCGCCGCGATTATGCCACCTGTTAAAAGAGTCGACTTTTACAACAAATGATATAACAACGAATATATATTTTTCTGTTGTGCAAAGTGATGAATTCGTGACCGATACGGGCATATTTAAAATGTCTTGCTTTATTAATTTAATTGTCTTCAATTTAACCTGCGGTTGCGTCGACAAAATAAAATCCTCACCACTCTTATACCATTGCAATCCGCGATCATAGGAATAAAAACGTGTGGTAAACTGCCCGATTAAATAATGTTCAGATCCGTATTTTGCGAATTCGGCAAATATTTAGATGTAGGCCTACTTGTTAACAATGACTCCGCTCAATCGAAATGCTGACACTCTGATTATTTTTAGATAAAACCGTTCGAAAAATCCATAAATCTGCTGTACCATCTCAGAGTAAAATTTATTTCATCACAATAAAATTGATTGAATATACTTTAAGATTAACTATATTATATACATCCTCACAACCCGGGAAAATGTCAAACCTTGTATAATGTTAACACGAAAATATTCGACGGCAATTTAAAGCAATGAATAATGAGGCAAATCCCGCTCTCAATTCGTGACGATATGTTTCTAAACGCCCGACCAAACAGAATGTGTACAATAGGCCCACGAAATTTCGCGATTTTCACAGCCTAGAAAAGCGTTTTATAAATTTTCGCGGGCCTCAATAAAACTTATATTGTTTGCGGTTTTATTTCCAGTATTTTAAATTGCCGCCTTTTAATCAAAAAGTTGCATTGTCTTTAGAAACTCGCCGCCGATGAACGTATTTACCAGATTCACAATTCCGTGCGCGTACAAAAATAAAATAATTGTCATCGTTATCGTGGAACAAATTTGTGGAAAATTTTCGTTTTAGAGAAAATAACACAAACGTAAAGACGTTTAGGGCCTAAATAACACGTTACGCTGATGAGTGATGAAAACAATCACGCGCAAGTTTCTATCGAGAATGTTTTCATTCAACGGAAACGTCTTGGAAGCGGCGTCGGCCGAAAATGTGTGACGTCACACAAATATTCGATATTCTTATGAACGCTAATTCCGATATTCGAATGACGAGATATTCGAATACATTCGAATACTTTATTCGAATCAGCCATCCCTGATTGTCGATGAAGAAAGTCTTTGTTTTTAATAATTTCTTATATTCTGTAGGCCTATTAATCTAAAAATCATTTGTTTTTTTTTATTTTCCAGTATGACTTCAGCAAAGAGCGAAATGTTTTATCAAGAATTGAAGAGAGGCGAACTTCGGAAAGAAAAATGGCCGAACAAGAAGAGAAAAGAAGACAGCAGTCTTTGAAAAGGAGGTACCGTAGTTTTTATCATATAATAATAGGCATTTCTTGGTGGGCATGATGGCCCAGTGCAGCAGTTATCAAACTCCTGATGTTAAATTATCCATTGGGGCCTAGATAATGTCATATTGGAATACCGTCTTGTTGCCACATTTCGGCGCTAATGTTGTCAAATTTGAGCAGTTACAAAATTAACCAAGTCAGTATTTCAATAAAAAAACGAATAGTTGGTAAGAGCCCTCGCCTCGGTTTCTCTTGCGGAGACTCACACAACATAGACATGTGCCGAGCACTCGCTCTTCAACGTGTTGGCTATAAAGATAAATCTGGTAACAGTAGTAAGCTCAGCCCTAGAATATTGAAGTTTTCCGGCAGCCATATGTCGTCATCAAATGATCCATGGGTTCCCGACCTCTGTGTTAGACTTATTCACCGCTACTATAAAATACTACAGCAATCTGGGGATATAAAAATGTACTGTAAACTGTTTGATTATAATATCAAGTTTTGATGTGTTGTTTTGCGAAGTAATATAAAGTTGAGCTGTTCTTGCAGCACTGACTCCACTCTATAGCAGTACTGCCACTTGCGTTATTTTTAAGATAATTTTAATTTATTTTAGTACAATAAAAATTGGGTAAACGTGCTTTACATTGGATTGCTTATTCAACACCCGGGGCTGCGGTATTATGCTGTCTCGCTTGAGTATTAACTTGAGCAACATAATGATAGCGTCTACCAAAACCAAGCATGTGAATTAGCTAGCTGATTAACTAATTGTATACCTGGCTTTGTAACCAGAGTTTGAATATCATTAAGAGAGTCTAAACAGGCGAACATGCCTCGAGCGAGTCGGGAAAGCACGGCGTTTTCGTTAACTGTTGGCTTAATCTTTTAACGACCAGGTTTACAGCAATTTTTTACTTTTATCATCGGCTAAATTTTTCGGAAACCACCCTTGTTTCAATATAATCAACAAGATTTAAATGCACACAGAGATCAGCTGAGTAAGCTTGAATCAGATAAAAAGAAAATGCTGGGACCTTTATTAAGATGGTTGAAGGTCAACTTTGGCGAAGTGTTCAGTGCATGGATTCATGTTAAAGCGCTGAGGGTGTTTGTTGAATCTGTTTTACGATATGGTCTTTCTGTCAATTTTCAAGCGGTAGTTCTTCAGCCACATAAAAAGCAACAAAAGAAATTAAGAGAGACTTTAAAATCCTCAGGTCCTCAATCCTCAAAAGATGCCTGGTATGCAGGTTGATGCACAAAGTTAATCCTTTACAAAAAAAAATTATTATCAATTTTACCTTCTCGTTTCTTGGCAAAAAAAAGCTGTGTTGGCAATACTTGATTTCTGAAACTAAATCAGGAACCATTAATTTTGTAAAAACTCTGAAATTTTTATTTTGCAATACTTTATTTCTAGAGCTGATCTAGAGAAACAAAAAATGGAAAAAATGATCGAGAGGCAGCGAGAAGTTTTGCAGAGACAAAGAGAATTATTCCTGGAACAGAAGAGAAGGCAGCAAGAGAACAAAGAAAATGGTTAGTGGATAGAATTTGAGTTCATGTCTTATTTAAACATTCTGACCAATTTTGTTTATTTCTAAATAAGGCCTTAAACAAGCAACTGCTTTTTGCAGGTTATCAAGTTTGCAAGCAATCGTCCTGCACCAAACTATGCAAATGTTTACACTTGCAACAGAGATGGGACCTCTTGAAGTATGCGCACCAAGATGGCGCACAGCCTGAACTCAGGTTGTGTACCAGGTTAGGGTTCAGGTTATGCGACATCTTGGTGCACATACTCCAGGAGTACCTAGAGATGTTAATAAATAAGGTCGACATGGATTATCTTTGTTTGCTCAAACCAAAGTCCCAAGCTTTCAACTGAAAGTGGACTGATAGAGGGGTTGCAATTTTGCCTAAACTAAAGCAAGGTCCCAAACCCTCAGCTAAAAGTGTTAATGGATTCCTTTTTTTATTCCAGGTGCAACAACACCAGACAGAAATAGTCCGAACCAAGATCGGGAATCGCCGACTTTGGACAGTAAGTCTTGTTCTAACTATTTAACACTAACATCTGCAACATTGATTTTATATGAAATTTTTTTTGTATTTTCTCTCCGGACAAGAGGCACTGATATCTAATGATATGTAATTTGAAAGGGCTGAAATCTTTCCTGCCTTTCTTTATTACACTCCAGGTCAGCTGGGGGTCATGAGATCTGAGATGTATAATCTGCGATGCCAACACAGCTGAAGTCATATTCTTCGAAAACCTTTAGGCAATCATGCTTTTTCTTTTGATATGAACTTTTGACAAAAAATAGTACCTCGCAAACGGTATTATACAGTATATGGTACTTTCTTTTTTTCATATATTTCAGAATATACCAGAGTGACCCAAAAACACAACCATAAAATTTTTACTTACTTCTATCAAAATGGAGAAAGTTGATTAAACGCTTGAAGTTCTGTTTGTGCATGATTGTAGCCAAAATGTTTTCCAATACGCTTAAATATTACGTTCTCTCTAGAATATGTTCCAAATGACCTGGGTTGGGTCGGACCATTTTGGATTTTTATAAATATTAAACTATTCAATGTTGACAATTTCTGCATACTTTGTATTATTTCATATGTCCCGTTGGCGCGATGGCCTAGTTCAGGGTAGTCCAAGGCTGTCGGCACCGCGGGTCACAAAATTATTTTTGCATTGTTCGCGGGCCACAATAGTGCCAAGAATAGGTAAACAGTGCAATGAAATGCAAACACTTTCATTGTGCAAACACATAGTTATCAGGCATAGCCATTCTAGGCTAATAGAATCCGCATTCGATTTTTAGTTTTCTATGATGACTATATTGTTAGCATATATTTCCGACCAAAGATAGAAAGCCAGATAATAATTTAGACTGTCAAGCACATCATTCAACTTTGCTAGTTGCCTCAGCTAGCCATAACACTAGTCAATCCAGTGACATCCAGTGTAACAATATGTCAAAAGATGCTCCTGATTAATTTTATTACGAAACGACACGAAATGTTATTTATTGATTACTCTTCGAATGCGACACGGGCCACAGATAATGAAGCGACGGGCCACATGTGGCCTGCGGGCCTGGCTTTGGACCACCCTGGCCTAGTTGCTTGATTGCTAAACTAGCTATTTAACTATGCTGGCATCAGAGATAAAAATCCTGTTTCCAATCCCATGCCCACCATCTTATTTACCCAGGGTGTAATAAATTGGTTTGGTCCCATTCTTTTCTAAATAAATAATAGCTCCTTATCTTAGGCTGCTTGTGCAGAACCATGTATGGAGTAAAATGCATTTAAAATATTGTATAAACCAGCTGTTCCCAACCTTTTCGATATATTCCACCCTTCACATATTTTTAAAACTCTTTATTTTTCTTTACAAAGTATATTTGCGGTATTTCTTCATCCTTAAATGGATCCTTAAGTAGCATTACACACAACTCGCACTCTGGCATTTGCATAGTTTGAATAGTTTATAATGTGTCCATAAATATGTATCACAATAAGGTACTCTCGAAGTACGTCAACCAAGATTGTGGACACCGGAGTGTAGTATGTGTACCAGTTTAGGGTTAGGCCATAATTTTATTTCAATTTTCCTTATTTTAGTCCTACTACGAGTTCGGAGACTAGGCAAGTGACTCTCGTAGTATTTGTACCTGAAATTATGGCCTAAACCTAACCTGGTACACATATTACATTCCAGTGTCCGCCATCTTGGTTCACATACTTTGGAGTATCCACAATAATATTAAACAACCAAACATTATCATTAAAACTACATCGAATACAAAGTAATATTTCCCTATTTTCTCCCCAAAAAACAACAAGATTTCTCCCTGGGTTGCTGGTAAATGCTCGTATAAAGAAAATAGTTGACCATAATTGTTCAAGATTCTATTTTTATATTCCAGATGCTTCAGAAGACAAACCACCGCCTCTGCCTCCTAAAAATCCATTTTCACAAGTTGGGAACACATCTATTCTGACTCCACTGCCAGCAGCAAGAAAAACCCTAGGTAACCCACAGTGTGGTTTTTCCTGACCAAGTTGACTTGAATTGTTTCCAGTCTAATGTCAACCGCTATTTAATGAAATCTCAGCGGTTGTTTTCAACTGTTCTATCAGTACTCTTCCTGCATTAGTTGTAGATTGGGACCCCACTTCTCCAAAAAAAATGTGGGTCCTCCTAGTATCCTGCTATTTCCTATCCATACACTGTAGTAGTCCCCACCTGAAAACGAAATTTATATTCCAGGATTTTCTTTCATCAATGACCCCCTCTCTCCCACTTTTTCCATGACATTATTGAATTTTGACTTGAATTTTTTAAATTGAAAACGGCCACTTTATTTTTACATTAATACAGTTTCATCACCTTCGCATCAAGCCAGATTAAACCAGGCACAACCAGTTTTATCCGGTCAAAACCAGATCTGGGTAGATTTTGAAGATAAGGAACAGGATCCTTTTACAAACATGGAATTAAAGACTATTGATGATATGGCTGAACTACAGACTGTTCTTTCAAACATTAAGATTGGTCAGTTTTTGGATTTCAGTTTTTTCAATAATAAAACGTTTTGAGCAATATCGCAAACACTCACTCAATTTTAACTTAGGAATTCTCAATCCTGGGGGGCTGAAGTTACCTGTTGAGGAGGGGGCAAACTTGACATGCATTGGGGTCAATTTTGCAACCAAGAATTCAAAACTGACATGGGCAAACCATGGCTTGCGGGTCAAAACCGGCCCATTGGGTAATGTAATTTGGCCCGCTTGATGTTGCCACAACCAAACAAAACCAAATATGTTTTAGAAGAGAAATAACTCAAGGAACTGGTAAAAATTACGAATAAATTTAGTTTTGGCGAGGCTCATTGTTTTTCAATTTTGCTTTCGTAACACTGTAAATATTGTTCATAAAATGTTACTTTTACATCTCACTTACATGGCCCGCCAGTCTAGGTGGGCAAAATTTTTGGCTCTTGGTCTAAAAACCTTGTACACCCCTGATTCAAAGATTTCCCCATTACAATAATAGGTTAACAGTCTCATTAAAGAATTATACGTAATATTGTGGAATTAAATGGAAGAATTTGATGGTAAATTTTACTCTTGTAATTCGTAATGGGTAAAAAAAAGAATCCTTTGCTCCAGCAGTCACTCGTAATAAGAATCATAGAGCCCATTATTTAGGAGCAAAAGTATGGAAAAAATAACAACCACCTTATTCATGGGGGTAGTTGTGCACGCAATGCCGAATTTGAATGATTTTGAATCTCCCAAAAATAATGGATTTAACATTAGTTGCCACACATAATGAACTTTCTTGTCTAATTGAACATTATTCAATTTTTCCTTGCAGAGCCCCCAGCACGAAACACCGATTTCACTTTGCCATCCTATGAGGAGGCAACAACATCAAATTATCCTACAATTGAAGATGGCCATGAATCTCTGGATAACGATACACAAGAGGGCACTGAAGATGCAAAATTGTCATTGACAAACCCGTTTTTATCTGATATTGCGGAAATATCTTCAAAATTGAAGACGATTGTTAAATCAGACAACGAGAGCCCAAGATCTTCGTCATCTGAAGAAACACGAGATTGTGAAAATGTGGAAATTAAACGTACACAAGATGGCACCTCTTCACCAGAATTCACTTTGCCTAAAAACACAGCTGGTTTGTACGAGAACGTTAGCTTGTCAGAGGTTAATGAAATCGCTACAAAGCTCAATCGGCCCACAATGAGGTCGCCAACAAGTGAGACAAGTTCAGTCTATGAGTTTGCGAAAGATCCCGTATCCCCAAATGAGGAAAGATCTCCTCTCCAAATTCAATTTGAGCGAAAAATGTCTCAAAAGGGGGTCGGATCTCCCCCAGCAGATCCAACTGCAGTATATTCTTCAATAGTAAGGCCCACATCAAGAGCAGCAAAATCACCTGAACCAGTTCCATCTAGTCAAAGCCAGTCAGTTGCAGTACCAACTGGTATACCCCAGTCAAAGCAATCCACTGAAATGACAATAAACCCAATATTATCAAGGTCAACTATGCCCAAGCCAGAACAACCTGGAACAGGTATTTTAAGCCAAGGGCAGATCAATCCAGTTTTAACTGGTTCTAACCGCCCTTTTCAAGGAACAAAATTATTGCCTGTAAGTTTTGGTGCTGTCTCTAGTTCAATAAGTGCGACTGTGCTGCCCCCTATTTCATCGAGCAACACCCAAGCAGGTGGTGCTGGGAATTATGTAAACATAACCCCTGGGTCTATTTCTGACCCCAATTTGGGTCAAACTACGGTACAAGATCCCCCAAACCCACCCGTCCCACCTCGTGACCGAACAGGGGCATCTGCACGTTTACCCCCCATACCAGCAAAAATTCAACCATCTACTGTTACAGCCTCTTCAAACGGTACCCAATCAAACTTACCCCAAACCGGACATAGCCATTTGTACCCCCCTTACGCTCTCCCTAATTCAACCGGCCCCAGCGTAACACTCAACTCCACGACAAATGTTGTCGGGTTCACAAATACAAAACCAGCAGTTTCGAGACCGACTCCTCCTCCCCCAAGAAAAACCCAGAATGGCCCCAATACGTCATCGTCGACCCCTGAGATAAGTTTTATTGCAAAATCACGTCAGGATCGAGCAAAGTTTGAAGAAACAATCAACAAGGCATTGAGCAGTTTGCCGAAAAATCCAAAACCAGTTAAAATAAATAAACCTACATCTCAGGTGAGTGAAGGCTTGCTGGTCTGTTTTCATTTGAACATGACGGTTTAGTGCGGGAGTGGGCCAGTTACATATAATAGAATTTGTTACTGGGCCGGCGTCTAAAAACTCGATATAAACAAACAGTTTATTTACAACAACCATTGGTAAAAGAACAATGGAATTGGGGTCATTATGACGTTATTTTCGTCGATATTTCCAACGGGAATTCATATCCAGGAAAAATATAGTTGTAATTTCAGCAGACACAAGTGTACCGGCCTTGTGCCATAATTCGCCCACCCCTGAACTCTTTATACTAAAAGCTAGCCCATCTTTCTGAACCAAGGCACACTCTTTGTGTACAAATCATGACGCATCACAAGTTTATCTTATTAACATTAAATTAAGAAAAGAAAAAGTTTTATAGAATTGTAGGTCCAATAAATTAAATACATGATAATAACGGGATCCCATTTATACCCAGTCGTACTTCTCTGTCAACAATCAACATTGATTTGAAAATATTCAAATACATCAACTATTCAATCACATGTTAATTTCCGAACATTTCGACGGGCCATAATTTACTCACCCCTGGCTTAGTGTCATTGAGCTCCGAATCTGAAGTAATTTCCCACCTAGCCATGGGTACTACTTCGGAGTAAAATTAGATTCAGCTTTATGTGCTGATTTCCATTCTGAAATTTGTTTAAATATTTTCAACTCATTGTTATTAACAGTAATTCCAAGTAATACATAAAACACGATGGTGCATCTATTGGTTCATTCTAACCATTTGGAATGATCAACTATTTCCATACTGGCTTGGACAGGTAACTGTACGACATACCGTGATATTAGGCCATAAAATAAGTACATAAATCCTATCTGTGATTCTTAGCTTCGTACGACTATTGCTGAATAGCATATGAGCTTTTCTTCTCTTTAAATCTATAATAATTTCATTTTCAGCCTTCATCTGTGAATCATACAGCATCTGCAAAACCAAGAACTCCATCGCCTGTAAGTTATGATTCTTTTCTATGAATAACTAAAATAATATTAATGCCACCATGTTAAATATGCCATATTGGGCCTTTCCTAGCTGAACAAAGTGAATACCGATATGTAAGAAAGGTGCGGCGGTGCGGCTCAACGGGTTAAGCGTTAGGGATACGCTCGCCACCGCACCTCTAATTACTATGCGTGGGTTCGCAGGTTCGAATCCCATGCAGGGATGGTTATGTGCGAGAGGATTGCTGGACTCCTCGCCGTAGTTGGGTGGTTCACGTAACCGCTGGTCGGTTACGGCTTCCTCCACCACCAAGTCCATGCTTCCGAAAACAAACAATATTATTAATCCCATACCCGACTTGGAATGGTAATCGGATGAGAGGCCGTGGTTCGCCATATGGATAAGACGTCTTAAGAAGCTGGTGTATTAGGAATTGAAGGGCCCAGCGGTGCGGCACTTTGTACTAAGTGATAGAAATGCACTCTGTATCTCTCATTAGCCTGAGTGGATCCGGGGTTTAAATCCCATGCAGAGCCTAACAATGGTTTCCATAATATGTGAACCAAGATGGTGGACACTGGGACGTAGTATGTGAACCAAGATAGGGAATAAGATTTTGGCCCAACCTGGTACACGTACTACGTTCCGGTGTCCGTTATCCTTTGTTCACATAATATACCTGCGCCGATGTGTAACATTTTGAAATGCAACTATATAAAATAAGGCCTCATCTTTATTAATGGTGATTTCTAAAATCTCTTGCATTTTCTCTTCAGAATTCTCTCCTTCTTGCTGCTCTGTCTTCAGAAGAACGTGAGTTCGTCCAATCAGTGACCTCTATGGGATTTGATACAGAGGCTACGATCCGTGCAATGCAGAAGTATGGGCTTGACGCTAAGGAGGTGAGTTGGCATGAGATTATCGATTTATATAATCAGATCCTAGTCTTTACAAATGAAAGATTCAGATCTAGTACGAAATTAGGCGCCCCAGAAGTGTATGTACCGGTGACCGTACATTTGAACCCATGTACATTTGAACCCATGCATATATCCACGGGTTCAATCTATATGCGGGTGCTAAAACCCATGGGTTAGGGTTAGTATGGGTTTAACTATCCGTGAAACAAAAAAAATTCCATAGGTGCAATAGCATACAGGTGCAATTGTCATGGGTACAAATGTACGTGGGTTCAAATGTAATGGAACCGTATGTACCAATATGCAGGTAATTAATTTTGTTCGACTACTTTACATCAAGTTGTATAAAGGGACTGAAACCTATGGGCAGGGGGTAAATTCACCTGGCTAGACAGTCCCCGAACTCTTAATGGAACTAAAATAAGGAAAATCAGGATAAAATTATGACCTAACCCTAACCTGGTACACATATTACGGAAGAACCAAAAATTTCATATTTCGGGGGTCTCAAGACCAAAGGGCGAATAACAATAATTAAAGGTGTATTTGAAAATATTGCAAAGAAAACTCGCAGCTGAACAGTCCACATTTCATTTCATAGCTCAATACAAAATTTGAGGGCTTTAATGCAAAAGGGAGAAACTCGGGAAAGTGAAGAAAACATATATTTTCAACTTTTAAACATTTCTAACTTTTTATTGGAATACTTTGTGAATATGGCTCCAAACTTCAACCTAAAAACCAGCTTAAAAAGCAGCTGGACCATTAATATTATTTTAAAAAAAATTCAAAGTTAATATATTTTTAATAAAGATAAAAAGTTAAATTAAAATCTAAATGTATGTAGAAATTTTTACAGCCTTCTCGAATAGCGGCCCACACAAAATGATTCTGTCCAATGGTTGGACTTGTATCTTGAATATTTATATTTTATATTCCTCAGGTTGTCGATCATCTGTGTGACGTGCAGCGCATCGTTGAACAAGGTTTTTCAACAAGAATGGTGCAAGATGCGTTGGAAATGTTTCAGAACGACGGTAAAGAGGTGAGTCTGAACAATTGATCTAGAGTAGTAGTTCACAAAGTTAATTGACATCGGGCCAAATTAGAAGGATATGTGGAGGAAAGGAGAGAAAAGCGCTCGCAAGGTACCAGCAACAGAACGTATGATTAAGCGTTTTAGCAGGGTTATTGGTGTTTTTGGACGGTTTTTCACTGATTTTAAGCGATTTAGCAGGGTTAACATACTGAATTGTTAAGATACCAACTAGATAGCTATGAATACACACGTGCCTGAACTGTGATAATTACATGTTATAGTTGGCGATTGAAAAAAAAAAGTGTCAAACTATTTTATTCAAGTCCGGCGGACCATATTAAATCGATATGCGGCCGTAATTGGCAGCAGTTTGGGGGCCACTGATCTAGAGTGTAAGTTCTCAGAGTGTGTGATACAGAGCCCCAGAGCTCTGTGATCTATTTGTTACCTATTAAAATACTAAATATTTATTAAACATACAAATGCTTTTAAATTTATTGATTGCTCCCGGCTTTTCCAAATGTTGGTAGTTTCTTACATATTGCTAAATCAGTGGTTTCCAAACTTTTTTCAAAAAAATTCCATGACGGACCCCTTGCAATTTTATAAATGATTCCCGGCCTTATGCACTGAAACAAAACATTAAAAGAACACAACAAAAACCAATACGCCATATAGTGAAACGAACAAAAGAATATAAAGCGCAACTCTCATGACATGACAGTATGAATTTTGGTAAACGTGCAAAAGGGCAGCGTCATCTACAGCTCTGTCGTTAATAAACTTGTTGTGGCATGAATTGAACTCTCACTGCGGTGTCACATGCCCATAGCTTTGTGACGTCACAATAGGGTAGCGTAATCGAAACAGAAAGTGAAGAACCGGCATCTCCCGCGGCGATTGCGAAGCAGCAAAAAGCGACAAATGTGTATTTGCTAATTTGAGAACTTTATTTTTGTATTATCAAGCTATTAGCCTTATTACAGATTTGTTGCGCGGACCCTTCGAAAGTGCTTCACTGACCCCGAAATGTCCACAGACCCTAGTTTGGGAACCACTGTGCTAGATTATTATTTAATCCTAATTTATTTCTTCTAATACTACTCCTCAATCCACCATAGGTTGTCAAATATCTTCAACAAGCCGGTCAACTGATGGACATGGGATTCAAAGAGGAAGACGTTCGTCAAGCATTGAAGAATAGCAAGAACGATCAGGCTTTAGCAATTGATCAATTAATGGGACAAACATGACACAAGCCAGCTTCGATATTCTACGTAGTGTTGGGGAACGAATATCCATCAAAGACTTGGGTCATCAAATAAACTGACCTTTTCCTGTCCCCCCCCCTTCTCGCACTCACCAATAAAAGTATTTTGGTTACTTCCGAAGTATGTGAACCAAGATGGAGGACACTGTAACGTAGTATGTATACCAGGTTAGGGTTTTGCCATAATTTTATTTTAATTTTCTCTATTTTAGTTCTATTACGAGTTCTGGGACTAGCCAAGTGACTCTCGTAGTATTTGTACCTGAAATTATGGCCTTCACACATACTACGTTTCGGTGTCCGCCATCTTGGTCCACATAAGTTTACCCAAGAAGTATCCAATTTTGTTTATGTGGCCCATTCATCTACTGAATACTCACACAGACAAAGTATTTGTTTTGCTAATATATTAGTTCTCATGATATTAGTTTGGGGGAGGGTTATCTGGAAAAGGTTCAAGTTAACACCCGTGATTTACTTGACTTTGGATGGCACATGACTTGTATCATTGGAAGTAAATGCGTCGTAAAATTGAAAACCTTTGGGATAAGTAGATGCAGTGCTAGGGAGATGCCTATAACCCCAACTCGAACTCTCAAATTTTGACATAGGAGATTTGATCGTTATCGCGTAGTTATGGTAACTATGACTCCCAGATGAGCTCATTTTGAGAAACCCTGCCCTAACCTTTAACCTGCCAACCACCAGTCACTGGACTAGCTTCTCTATCAGTTCACTTATTTAATAATTTTTTTTTCATGACTGATACCTATTCATTAGCTTAAGCTTCATTATATATTGTTTGCCTATTGTATTGCAATGTATGTATTTATGCACTTTCACATGCTATATTGTGTAATATAATTTCGTTGTTTCTTTGTGTCGAATGAAATCGATGATTTAAATATGGGATGAAACAGTGTATTCTAAAATTGGCTTTAAAGAAGGATTTTGCTTGAGTATCATTCAACAACTATCGAGTTGTGCTGAGCGGTTAAAAACGATGCTTCTTCATCTCTCATTCTTCTGAAAGGAATTACTGGACCGGTCAGCTACTTTAGGGGCGTACAACATGTGTGTCCTTGGGCTCAAAAATGACACGCAAACAGTTTGGTGAAAAACGTAGTCGTATATATGATAAATTCTAATAATACTTTATATTAAACTCACTGATGGTGCCGGAGATTAGGAATACCATGCCATAGCACCTCTGATTATCTTAAGCAGGGTCGCTGGTTTGAATCCTGTTGAGAAATAATTATGTACGCAAGGATTGCTGGACACAACTTCACCATAGAGGGGGGTTGCTAAAAGGTCGCTGGCCCGCTATTCCAATTTTGGCAGGAGAGGGATTGATTGAGGCTTTCTTGCGTATAAATATAAAAAGCAAGTATGAGTAGAGGACGAAGATTACTGGACTCTTCGCCATGTAACAGATCCCAAAATAAGTACATTCATATGAACCAGTTAACTAACTCCCACTCCCATACCCAACTCAGACTGATAATTGGATGGATGATAGGCTGGCTGTGGGCATGACTGTTGCAAGAATAAACATGAATACAGTCTGTTTTCCAAATCCCCAGAAATAACAGACTACTCGACCGAATACATTCAAATGTATTATGATTCAAAAAACTTGTAACATTCACTCAAGGATCGTGAAATCAGGTTGATGACACTCGCCAAACAGTTAAGAAAGTGTATTAACTTAAGCGTCTTTTGGGTATATACAAATGCAGTACCAATTCCATAGATGTCTGAATAATAAGAAAACGAACTATTGAACCACTAAAATGAATCAATTACAAATACCCAACAATAAAGTACATGAAGCCCACAAAGTTTTATTAAGGCTTTATTTCCAAAAAATCTAATTTTGATAGTGTTAAGAATGGGTAGTGAACTTATTGTTTTTTTACTTGGTTTCTCACATTTGAAAGTCTCAAATTGGCAACTCTGCATTAAGTCTTGTTTAGTATTTACGTAGTGTCTATTTTGGTTTAAATATGATCAAACAAAAAATGAAATTCGTAATATCTGTTTCTGGGATACAATATAAAATTCGTTGAACACTGTACAAATGAAAATCACAAGACTATACATGTAGATCATATCTAACGTAGCGGGGTTTGAAGTCGACCGACAGTATAGAAAAGACAGTCCTTCTCGCTAAATGACTACTTAACAGTCTTTGGAATACTCAGCTATTCTGTTGCCTCAATATACAACATAAAGTAGTCAGAAATATCAAGAGTGCAATTGTGTATTAGTGCACTGTTTAGATCAGTGGTTCTTAAACTGGGTTCGATCAAACCCCTGGGGTTCAGTGGAGCTGTTCCAGAGGTGCGACAAAGGTGCTCTGGGACAGTTGCATATTATGAGACTTTTTTATCACCCTGCATACTAATTATGCAAAAATAACTATAGTTCATGATTACTAATGACTTGAACAATTGAATGAAACAATTAATTGGTGTTACCCTTATTCATATTCTACCGTACTAATAAAATTTAACTCAATTTTACGGATAAATCGAAGATAGGCAGTAATTGTACATGAATGAATGCAAAATCAGAGCGTGTTTGAATTTCACTAGGAATAGTTTATCGCAGAGCTTTATCCGAAATTATTATGATCCATTCAGGACAACCTCGATATGGCGCCGAAGTAATCCTATCTCTATTTCTGTAAAATAAAACAATTGGCAAACGATTTTATTCGCATTTCAGCGCAGTTTAAAGTTTGAGAACAAATTGCTTGAACTACCAACGTTTATGGAGTATATTATCATCTTTCGATTTTCAAAGGTATTTTTTATCAGTTTTCGCCGGTTCACCAGCAAAACTTATACAACAAAAACCATCTGCTCTTTCTGCCGCCAACGCCATTGTGACAAAACAATGGTTATTCCCACATGGTTATTGATATCTAAGGTTTCATCACAATGTTCATATTCTACAACCTTGCAAGAATTAGCTTCCGCTTTATAACGTTACGGTTTGGCTTCTAATTTCAACCAATCAGTACGCAGGGGTTCGGCAGGCTCACAAAGGTTAAGAACCACTGGTTTAGATAGATATAAGAAAACTCAGATACATGTGCAGTGCAAGTGAAGCAATATATAATAAATAAAGTAATAATTGAAAATATGACACAATAATGTCAATGTAAGAGCGTCATACGACAGAGCAAGAGAATTACCGTATACGCAAAAACACTTTCACAACAATAAACAATCTAATATGCCAGATATTGGGGAGTTTCATTGCTTTATACCTTTGAGGCAAAAGTATCGAGGTTAATAGAAAACTTTTAAAAACAAATGATATTTGTTTTGCCAATGCTTTGACTGTTCAATAGGGCGCATATATAAACTATCTACAGCAGGGGTTCCAAACTCAATTTACTCGGGAGCCGCTGGGGCAGAGTCTGGATGAGTCCGGGCCGCATCAGGCTTTCCACAATAAAAACTAAGCAACTCATTTAAATTGTACTGTATTCCTTGTGCACTGCAACTTTAACTGTGCAGATAAAACACGTCTGGATGCTCCCATGCTCAAACAATGAATATTGCATTTCCCCAATTTTTTGAACTTGTCTGTGCTCATCACCAGTGTTCCCTCTAAGGTGTGCGCGCGCACAAAGCTTTCAGAGGCTGCGCACACGCATAGATTTACTGCGCACAGACGTATTTCGATGTAATGTAACAATGTTCTTGGTTGGCAGGTTGAGAAAGTTTATCCCACCCATTACCCGGTTAGAACGCCAAAATTTCTTCATTGGTTTTTGCACAAATATTAGTCATTTCCAAAAAAAGTGCGCACACACCAAAATTTTTGCGCACACATACTATAAAAAATTAGAGGGAAGATTGCTCATCACCAACCTTTCTATTTACTGAAACTTCACTTCCAACGACACGTTTAGGAATGTACGAAATTATAAAATTCCATCTTGTAATAACTGTTGCGCTGATGTTTCAATCAAGCATTTAGTCAATGAACAGTGGTGTTTCGCCACATGGGAAACATGGTTACAATGTATGAAAATAAATCTTAAGCGTTAGTGATTGTGACGTCAAAAATCATGAAACAGTGTTATCAAATTATTTGAGGCGGTCCCGCGATCGAATATCAGGCCCACAGGTATGATACTGGTAGGTTACCGTACCGCATACTTCCTTCAGGGGATAGATGATAAAATTCTTTGTTTTGCCCTACGTGAGAGTTTCCCTTTTTTCGGCCACGGAACACTTACACTTTTTATATCTTCTCATGGAACACCAAAAAATCAAAGGGTTAAATTGAAAAACGGTGCAATGTAGCGGTTCCTAATGAGTTGCAAATGCGCGACAAACTTTCAGCATTTCCAAGTAAAACCAGGTAGAGATGGAGGAAGAACGGTTGACATTTTGCCTTTATTCTTAAGACTTACTTGTGTGTCTTTAACAAAACCAAAAGAAGTACTGTAAAAACCGACGGTAAACGAAAATGCCACTACCCTGACTTAGTTAGTCCACTTTAGGCCGACGATGAGGCGATTTTAAACGGTCAGTTGGGCAACAACTTCATGATTCTCAGATCGCCATGGCGACTAATTTAGATGTATTTTTGATTTTCTTTTCCACGTAACACTCTGGAGATGCTCGCGAAACATTAGTGTTCCGCGGAACACAGTTTGGGAAACGCCGTTGCTTACTGAGCTAAGTGACTTGCCGGCCGCACTAACATTAAACTTTAATACCAAGGCGGGGGCCACAGACTATCATTGGCCCACGGGCCACGAGTTTGAGACCCCTGATCTACAGTATGGTAAAAGAACAAAAAAGTGAAGGCGTTAAATGAATACTACAGCCTTCACAGACATATATTGTTAAAGAAAATCTAATAAAAAAATAGTACGGTCCTAAAAACTATCTACCATTTGATGCTCTGAACAGATAAAATTATGAACAGGCCGATAAACCTTTTTCACATCTTTCAAATATTTGTTCCAGTATGCAGTTCATGTGTTGTATTTCAGAATCCTTGGTTTTGCGAAATCACTCGCAAGAATACTCCAATTCCTCTCCATTTTCCGATTATAAAGTGTTTTTCTTGTATGAGATCCGATTGGAAATTTTTTTTCAATATTTATACCAAGTGTAAGGTGTTTTTAAGTATGGTTTCATATGTAATTAATTTTCCAGACTTCATGAGTGCAAGGTTTTCCTCCAGCACTAGTTTAAATGTGGCCTTTCAAGATCTTTTCTACATATTTCACAATCATGAGGTTTTTTTGCAAGCTCAAGGTTTTTAACTGATATGTGTTTGCATGTGGCTTTTCAAAGACTTTCGCTGTGCAAAATCTTTCTCACATATTTCACAAGCATAAGGCTTTTTTTCAGTATGAATTCGCACGTGCATTACCAGATCACTTCTACAGACAAAATCTTTCCCACATATTTTACAAGCATGGGGTTTTTCTCCAGTATGCCTTTGCATATGCATTTTTAAATTACCTCTGATTGAGAAATCTTTCCCACATATTTCACAAGTATAAGGTTTTTCTCCAGTATGGCTTCGCATGTGTGTTTTCAAACCACTTTTACAAGCAAAATCTTTCTTACATATTTCACAAACATGAGGTTTTTCCCCAGTATGCGTTCGCATGTGCATTTTCAAGTTACTTGTATTTGGGAAATCTTTCCCACATATTTCACAAGCATAAGGTTTTTCCCCAGTATGCGTTCGCATGTGCATTTTCAATTTACTAAGTATTGCAAAACCTTTCCCACATATTTTACAAGCATGAGGTTTTTCTCCAGTATGCGTTAGAGTATGGTATTTTAAATAACATTTACGGGCAAAGTCTCTCCCACATATTTCACAAGCATGAAGCTTTTCTCCAGTATGAGTTTGCATGTGCTTTTCCAAATCCCTTTTCCTGGCAAATTTTTTCCCACAAATTTCACAACCATGAGGTTTTTCTCCAGTATGTGTTTGCATGTGCTCTTTCAAATTACTTCGCCGTGCAAAATCTTTTCCACATATTTCACAAGCATAAGGTTTTTCTCTAGTATATCTAATAATATGCTTTTTTAAACTATCTGTACTGGCAAAATTTTTCCCACATTTTTCACAAGATATTTTACCTTTTTTTTCGTTATGTGTTCGCATGTGGGATTTTAAAGCATCAAGCCTTGAAAAATCATTCCCACATATTTCACAAGCATGAGGCTTTTCTCCAGTATGGGTTCGCATGTGCTTTTTCAAATCACTTGTTCTGGCAAAATTTTTCCCACATATTTCACAAGCATATGGTTTTACTCCAATATGGGTTTGTATGTGGTACTTCAAACTGTTTGGCCAGGCGAAACCTTTTCCACATATTTCACAAACATGTAGATTTTCACCTATGTGAATTTGCATGTGGTATTTGAAAGTATCAGGCCTCGAGAACTCTTTTCCACATACTTTACAGACATGTGGTTTTTCTCCGGTATGAATTCGCATGTGGTATTTTAAAGTACCTAGCCTTGCAAAAAATTTTCCACATATTTCACAAGCACAGGATTTTTCTCCAGTATGAGTTCGAATGTGTCTTTGCAAGCCATTAAAACTTGTAAAATTTTTTCCACATATTTCACAAGCATGAGTTTTTCCAGTATGGGTTCGCATGTGCATTTTTAAAGTACTTGACCGTGCATAATTTTTTCCACATGTTTCACATGCATGTGTTTCTTCAGTATGGGTTCGCATGTGTATTTTTTTATAATTTAAACAGGCAAAATCTTTCCCACATATTTCACAAGCATGAGGTTTTTCTCCAGTATGGATTCGTATGTGGTATTTTAAAGTACTTGGCGCAGTAAATTTTTTGCCACATATTTTACAAGAATGAGGTTTTCCTCCAGTATGTGTTCGCATGTGGTATTTCAAACTTGACTTAGTAATTTTTTTGCCACATATATCGCAAGCATGAGGTTTTTCTTTCTTATTAATTTCCATATTTTTTGTGTTGGAACATGAGAAGAAGTCAATATTCGTTGGAAAGTCCTTTGTAGTTACGACATCACTCATTGTTTCAAACCTGTCTCCTCAATATTATTGAAATATCAGTTCTATCAGACTACCTGGAATCAGACAAGATATAAGATTTAAAATGCACAATTTACATCAACAACACAAAGCCTAACGAACAGTAATATTGAATCATGATTTCATCAACTGAAATATGTTCAGGCGCTTAAAATTGTAACACAGAGTGACAATGGTTTGACAAAGTTGTGCTGTCAGTCAAATTTGGCAACATGTGGAAAACCAGAACAACAATGTGTAGGCATATCTAAGACAACAAAAATTTAAAATAATTATCAAATAACTGCAGAGGTTTTTGTGAGGTACGAAAAAGTTCCACACTCGAATATATATACATGCAGTTCCAATAGATTTTTGAATGAAAAGAAAACAAACAATTGATCTACTAAAATGAACCAATTATACAAATTCATGGACAACCAGCAATAACTGCAGGAAATACTGATGTACAAGTAACGCAACAGAGTATCAGAAAGCTCACACTTGGTTCTTACCCATAATTCAAATAAAAGTTAAAAGGTGAATAATCATGCTACACATCCCAAAATTTTAAGAAATGGCAGCAGAGCGATTGGAGTCAGTGTTTCAAGAACAGTTCAGATTTTTCAAATAAGCAATGCAAGAATCAAAAGAAGCACTTTACCACACATTTTTATTTCCGGAGACTGCCATGGTGGTAATGACTAATGATCTTATATTTTTGACGCAACCACATTTTAAATATGTCTGTAATGGTTATGGATTGATTACTTTACGTCACAGAAACATTATTATGTGTTGGAAAAAATCACCATTAAATAAAAATATAGAGTGGCATAATTGCGACGACTGCTTCGGAAAGAATTTTTCCAAGATGATATAAATGTATTTTAGATATACCAATATACCTCATGTGTATTTTAATAGTATTAAATTGAATTCTCTGGGATTTAATCTCAGATATTGCAATATTTCTAAGGGAGATGACATATTCGTAAGATCACAAAAATACTTAATATAAGTTAAAATCTTTCCCGAAACTTTCCGAAGGAACTTGTAATAAAATCAATTCAAAGTTTGCAGAGAGGTGCGACCGATTGGCTGGGGACTCGAGTCATGGGATGATAACAGGGCCGTTTATTTTCTGACAACCATCCATAGCCCTGGAGATACCAGCGACTATTCTGGTTCAAAAACCGTCAAGCAAAAAGGAGGCCGTTCTACATCACAGACTTCGAAAATTCCATGCTCCCCTGAACTCAGAGATCACAACTCTCACATGGGGGGTGTGGATCTTTCAGACCAAATGCGACAATATTATAATTTGACGAGACGTTCTAAAGTATGGTATCGGCGCGTATTTTCTTACATTATTGAAGTGGCACGCCCTGATTGGGGACCGCAGGTCTTCTTGGCGAGTGTCTGGGTCAGGCACCATTCTAAGACTGCAAAACGGTGGGCGCCACCTTCCATCGTTTGATGGAAGACAGGGTGTGTGCCCAGTGTGTTCGAAAAAAAGTCAGCTGGCATCAAGACGTTCTGAAGAAAAACCACATGTTTCACGAAGCAGAATGAAATGCGCCGAGTGTGATGTACACCTTTGTGTACTTTCAAACAAATCTTGCTTCGCTGATTGGCATACTAAACTACAACATTAGCGTTAGAGAGTTAATGTTATATTCTGTGAATAGTGTTTTTTTCTTTATTTTTTTCTGAAGTTTTCTGCTCAGTGTATGTAATTTGGTTTGTTGGTATCGGTGTTTTTTTATATTGTTATTGTTTCGTTTTACTGTACATTGAAATATATTTTACTTGACACCAGCCGCTTTGTTATTGTGTATCAAATCTGTACCAGATCATACTTGTCACGAGTCAATTGGAATTTTTTTGTTGTGTTGCGAATCACTCACGGCAGCTGTGCACCGCGGGAGTCGTTATCGGAGATAAAATATTTCGTGCTGAGCGAACATTTTCGCTATTAGGTCGGATGCAAACGCGTTTTCGGCTATGTGGGTCAGATGCGTAATATACCAAGTTTACACGTCAAAATAAACGCTATTTAGTACAATATTTTCGGCTAAATAGGTTATGACGAACTCACGAACTCACTATCGGCTAAGTCACTTAATGAGAAACAAACAAATTTACTACGCCTGGGAAAATGTTATAATATTTGTTTCATAATAATAAACACGCACGCAATACTTATTTCTTGAGCTACATAGGCCATGGAATAAAGTAAACACAAAACATAACCATACAATTTACCGCTTGGTAGGTTACGATATTTAACACAGGCACATTTTTGTCTAAGTCGCCTTATGCGAAACAAACAAATTACTATGTCTAAGAAATGTTATAGTCTCTGTTCAATAATAATAAACACGCATAACAATAATAAATCATTCATGAGCTATAAAGAGAGATCGACAGCGTTTGTTGAAGCGAAGGAGTGAAACAAATCCTCTGTACTTAGATAATGATTTGACTTACTCGACTGGTTCTACGATAATAAAAGCATTGAAAGCCTAATTGGAAAAATTTAACAGCGACCTCTAGCGAATAGATTTATAGTAAACAATTTAAGCTGGGGTTTATGGTTGGTGATTGACAGGGGGGTTGAATTGGGACATGCAAAATAGGCATGGGGCAACGGCTGGAAGATGGTATAACATTGGTCCTCAGGAGTGAGCTTGCTTGTTTTTGAAACCATTTCAAGTAACAAAATATTGCAAATTTTTTCCACATTGTTCACAAGCAGGGGGTTCTTCTCCAGTATGGAATTGTATGTATTCAAAGTAGGCCAATAAGTTTTTTACACAAACAATGAGTTTTTTTTTCAATAAGATATCACATATGCATTGATCATTACAAAACTTCCAAACTTATTACCGGTATATTATCATGATGTTTTCTTAGCAGTATGGGTAGGCTTGTGTCTTTTCAAGAGATCCATTCTTGCAAAACATGAGCTTTTTCTCCAATGTGTTGAAGCCCGTGATTTTTCAAATTACTTAGCCATGTGAAATCTTTTCCACATACTTTAAAAAAAGAGGTTTTTCTCCAGCGTGTGTTCGCATGTTATTTATTAAATCACTTGGCCATGAAAAATCTTTTGCACAAATTTCACATGAATTGGGTTTTCACAAGTATGAGATCGCTTGTGATCTTGCAAAATTTTTCCCACATTATGGTTTTTCACTAGTATGAGTTCGCATGTGGGATTTCAGGCTACCTGATCTTGCAAAATCTTTTAAACATATTTTACAAGTATAAGGTTTTTCTCCAGTATGCGTTCGCATGTGCGTTTTCAAACGAAGTGTCCTGGCAAAATATTTTCCGCAAATTTCACATGAAATAGGATTTTCACCAGTATGAGTTATTATCTGATCTTGAAAAATCTTTTCCACATATTTTACAAGAATGAGGTTTTTCTCCAGTATGAGTGCGCATGTGATTTTTCAATTCCCTTGTCCTGGCAAAATATTTTCTACATATTTGAGTTACAGTATGCGTTCGCATGTGCCTTTTCAAATGAGTTGTGCAGATATAACTTTTTCCACATATTTCACAAGCATATAGTTTTTCACCAGTGTGCATTCACATGTGGTATCTTAAAATACTTGGCTTCATTGTTAACTCTAAGGAAATTATGAGTGCGAAAGTGCTTTTACCGATTTTAACAAGTTTGGTGCCCTAGCTTTTGTTTAACTCATAGATACTCGAAAAAACGCTCCTTCCGTTAATATTAGGAATTAAAAAGAGAAGTCTTTCCGTTAACAGAATGTTTCGTTTAAATCCTTGTATAAAACAAGGGAATTCATCCGTAACGAAATGACACCTGCTAAGCACACCTGTCGCGAGCAAAACTTTGGTGATACCAACCACCCATGTCAGTTGCGAAGCGTACTCCTTCGCGTGAACAGCAAAGCGTTGTACATTTGTGTTACTCCTTCCATCTAACAGACAATGATTGTTAAATGCAGGAATCGATATTAGTTACTACCGGCCATAGCTGGGGAAAGGGGTCATTTGTAAAAAGCATGTGCAAAATAACATCCCGTCACTGATATCGCTTTAGTATAACACGCTTCCTCGTCCGAAAGAATATGCATGGAATTAGTCCCTCCTCTCCCCATTTAAGAGATGATCACTTTGAAGATACTTCCCCTTTTCATGAGCTATCTTAACCTGATTTTTTATTTACATTTATAGTATACTATCTCAGAACTTACGCAAAGACTTGTAATTTTCAAATGTCGACGTGCCTTGGTTTGCGTGCGAGTTAGTTTAAATCCGGCAAAAAACATCATATATTGGCAAAATTTTTAGGAATGCCATGTACTTTCAGCATTCATAAATAGCACTCTTTGTAATGCTGCTGACCTAGTATGAAATATTAGCATCACAAGGCCACTTGCGACGTTTCCATATATTACAATTACACTAATAGGAACGATGACACCAAGGAGTTTTCTTTTGCGAAGGTACACGAAATACAACGAGGGTGATTCTTGAAAAAAACATAAATATAAACGAACGATATGATAGTGGTTCCCAAATAATTTTGAGAGTGTCTCGAAATACCAATCCATTTGGTAAATAGTTTTTATTCGACCGCATGAAATGCTGATATCCTGGGAATTAATGTTGAAAGAGAAGTACGCATTCTCAGATATCAGACATCCAGCCGCGATAATCAATTGTTCATGTGCACAAATTTCACATGTAGCATCGGTTAGTTGTGCATGAAATGAAAAACTCTTATTTGTGTTTTTGAATTTCAATAAAATTAGATTCGTTATTCCGTGCAACATAAATCAACATTAGGCGTATTTTAAATAGTAATTGCTTCCCAAGTTTGTAAAGTTTAGAAACCAACAAGCAGAAAATAACTTATCCTAAAACACAATTAAAATTCAGTCGGCCATAAATTACGCCAAGGCGATGCCATACAAAACAGAAAAGATTTGGTCGAGAGAGTTATACGTTAGATGACAGTAAACAATCAAATGACAGAACAATCTAATTAAAAAAAAAAAAAACGGGGGTTACGACGCCCATAACACATGCATGTGTCTTAAACTTCCTTTTTGATACACTTGTTAGAGTATTTCGGACAATTTAAAATTCCAAATAAATGAAAACCCGACATATCATAATAAAGACACAAAAGTAAAATAAACAAACATTGTAAAAATTATTATTTAAGAAAGACAACATGATCGTACAATTCCGTCAAAACCTCGATGTTCGCCAGTGAGATGATAAATAAATACTTCCCCTGTATTCGATCAATTAACTTTAGCGAATCGTTGTTTTGCAAACAAACAGCCAGATGCAAAATATTTCCGTCATAACCTTGCATGTTATTTCGCAGTCCCTAAAAATAGTTGCGAAAGTGTTTCGCACTTTTGCAAAAAAGTGCGCTAGTAGTGAACACTGCTTGGCTTTGTAAAATATTTCTCACATATTTCACAATCCTGAAGTTCTTCCATATCAATTGTACTCGGTATTATTTATATTTTAGTTATATTATTATTCCTTTTCTAATAAAGACAGAATCATTGTTTCAATGGAATAAAACATTACTGGCCTAAACTGTGTTTTTTCAGTTCTCCCGTAGTATGTGTACCATGTTAGGGTTGGGTCATACTTTTATTCAGATTTTCCTTGTTTTAGTTCTATTACGAGTTGGGGGTCTGTTTGTGTTAGCCAAGTGAATATACCCCCTGCCCATAGGCTTCCGTCCTATTACACAACATGATGTAAAGTAGGCGAACAAAATTAGTTCCCTCAATATTGGTACACATACTTCTGGAGCACTATTTTTTTTTATGTATAAGTGAAAAAAAAATTAAATAAATAAAAATCGAACAGAATGCTGAACAGATGATTTGTTTATCTTCCAAAACGTTTCCCACATATTTTGCAAACATAGGGGTTTTTTCCATTATGTGTTTGCATGTGGTGATTCAAATTATTTGGACTTATAAAGTATTGAAACACAATGTACTTTTTCTACTGTCAATATCTGGCAACTAAGTTTAAAATCTTTTGCAGTTAATTGCATCACTCATTTAAAATTTTACTTGAGATTACCAGATTTCACGATTTGCCTTTTTGATATTAAATTATATTAAATAAATACAATCGGTCGACATGTGGAAAACTAAAACAACAACGAATGTAGCCTACATTTTGGGTAGATTTCAGCAAATACATAGCACACATACGTAGTGTGATTTTGTGTCATATCTGCTATGTATAAAATATACAATTTGTATTCTCTTACAAACAGGGATGGACATAACCGAATACTTGACTATTTGGAATACAATGTAAAAAAATATTCTCGAATCTGGAATTTCAAATACATTCTAAAATCATAAGGTTTTAACAAGTACAAGTGGATTTACATGTGCAGTTTTAAAATTTCCGCTCATAGTTTGCAAGATCAAGGTTTTTCACTGGTGTGTGTCCACATGTGTCTTTCCAAAGCTCTTCGTTGTGCAAAATATTTCTGACATATTTCAAAAGCATGAAGGCTTTACTTCAGTATGGATTCGCATATGCCTTTTCAAATTACTCGCAATTCGAAAATCTTTCCCACATAATTCACAAGTATAAGGTTTCTCTCCAGTATGGATTCGCATGTGTATTGTCAAACCACTTTTTTGGACAAAATCTTTTCCACATATTTGACAAGGATGAGGTCTTTCTCCAGTATGCGTTCGCATGTGCAGCTTCAAATTACTCGTATTTGGGAAGTCTTTCCTACATATTTCACAGGCATAAGGTTTTTTTCCAGTATGGCTTCGCATGTGCCTCTTCAATAGACCAAGCATTGAAAAACTTTTCCCACATAATTCACAAGCATGAGGCTTTTCTCCAGTATGTGTTAGCGTATGGTATTTCAAACCCCTTTCACGGGCGAAACCTTTCCCACATATTTCACAGGCATGAGGCTTTTCTCCAGTATGTGTTAGCAAGTGGTATTCCAAAGTGTTTCTCCGAGCAAAATCTTTCCCACATATTTTACAAGCATGAGGTTTTTCTCCAGTATGAGTTCGCATGTGCTTTTTCAAATCACTTGTCCTGGCAAAATCTTTCAAACATATTTCACAAGCATGAGGTTTTTCTCCAGTATGTCTTTGTATGTGGTTTTTCAAATCACTCGTCCAGGTAAAATCTTTCCCACATATATTACAAACATACGGTTTTTCTCCAATATGAGTTCGCATATGCTTTTTCAAATCACTTGTCATGGTGAATTCTTTCCCACATATTTCATAAACATGAGGTTTTTCCCTGCTATGTATTTGCATGTGGTATTTCAGAGTATCTGAACATGCAAAATCATCTCCACATATTTTACAAGCACAAGGTTTCTCTTCAGTATGGGTTCGCATGTGGTATTTCAAAGAATTCGAATTTGCAAAATCTTTTCCACATATTTCACAACCATAGGGTTTTTCCCCGCTATGTATTTGCATGTGGAATTTCATAGTATTTGAGGATGCAACATCTTTCCCGCATATTTCGCAAGTAAAAGGTTTTACTTTCATATAAACCTTGTTATCCATTCTACTGGAACAAGATGCACTTTCTCTATTGTCAATATCCATGTTTTTACGACATTAAACTTTTTCAAATTTATTGTTAAAATTTGTAGTTTATAAAAAGTCTAGTTCTGTCTCTCTCTTCCAAGCTTAAAATGTTAACAATGAACACAAATAAAAATGGTATAACACCTGAAAAGCAGACAAGAGGTTTAAAAAACATAATTTCCACTAAACACACGAAGTGGAACGAACAGTGAAATCGTATTATTAATGTTTTATAAAATAAATTCAGGTCGCAAAGAAAAATTACAGTTTAACAAAGTAATCAGTGGGGCTGTATGTCCAACATATGGAAATTTTGAGTACCGTAGGTATATTTGCTTTATATTGTTGGCAATAACATAAACTTCACTTTATCTTACCTCTGGGGAAGGTATGATATAACATCCTAATTACACCCAGCTAGTAAGTGTTGGGTGTGAGAATCTTCATTCTCTTGAGCTCGATGCGTGAAAACGCCAGATGTCTGGGTATGCGTCACAGAAAGTCACGTACAGATCAGCACGGCCCTCGAATTTTGCTAATTTGATTTTTGTTTCTCACCAATGTATTCTGCCCTATATGATTACATATACGATGTATTTCTGAACCATTTTATTCAGTTTAATGTTGGTAGTGCCTATCAAAATTATGGCCCGTAAATGCAAAAGTCTGTAAATAAAATAATTACTTCTAAATAAGACGAAAGGATTACAAAATTATGCGTTTCGATTAATACGAGGAGTCGTACTGATTTTTTTATAAGTTTTTGTGAATCCATGACATCGTATGAATTGTGGTATAACGAAGTCAAAACGAATCGATTAGTGAAACTTTGCATGCCCGTCAATACCTGTAATTACAACAATTTAACATAGCCTCTTCGGCTATTTAGAACTGAAACTTCCACAACGCACAATGGATTAAGATATTCTTCAACTTCGAGATTTTTATTTAAATTTGAGCGCCAACTTTCCATAGTAAAATAAAAGCCTCGATGCGTCATTGGATTAAATTATTTTGCCAATTTGATTCTTATTTTTCACCGATTGCGCAAGTTAATCATTACGCAAGTTAATCATTTGCGGCATACGAATGCATCAATGCGGCGTTATATTAATTTGATTCTTGTTTTTCACCGATCTTTACGCAAATTAACATTTGTGGCATATGATTGCCTCGACGTGGCATTGAAATAAATTATTCTCGTATACCGTAAATTTCGAAGGCGGAAAAAAGTTTGACTTTAAAATGATTCAAATAATTTTTCTAGTCATGCACATGCTTACATTTGCGGCATATGAATGTATCGATGCGGCATTATATTCATTTGAATCTCGTTCTTCACCGATAAATTAGTAGTATAAATTACGCAAATTAAACATTTGCGGCATATGAATACATCGATGCTCCATGATCCATTTACTTTGATCCATTTATTGTCGTTAACATGCCATCCGATCAACAATGAAAATGAGAGAAACATGTCAAGCCAAGGTTTGTGTAGAGGAACGGCCGATGCGCGCCTGCGTGCGTCGATTGAAATTCAGTGATCCGTCGATCATTTTTTGTTCATTTCTCTCAAGCGCTTTGGTAAAAAAAATTCTCCTTCGGTAAATCTGATTATTTTTTCCCCGAGGAATCCAATGGTGATAGTCATAGCTTGCGCTTCTTTTTAATTCAATGCGCAACTTCGTTTTACTGCATTTTTACCGATATTGAGGGACATCAGTCGCCAGACGTCCCTCGAAGAAGGGGCTTCGATTCCTATTTAAAATAGCATTCTCTGAAATGGGACAAAGTCTCTCCATATGTATAGCGTGCCGTACTGGATATACCGGTATTTGTATATTAATAATTTTAAACAACTTCAATGGCAACAAAAAATCAAACTCATACCGTTAACTCAACAATACCGTTAACAATCTGGTAATCTTTACTAGTTAACTATCAGTAATAATAAGTTAGAATTGTGGGTTGGTTTATTTGATTTAAGTTATTGTAATATATTATCAAGGAATTAAAATCTATACAGGCAACTTATTGGATCTTTTGCTGTATCAAATTAACAGACATTTTGGTGAACATGTAACCTATTATCTATTCTGTTTGGAGTTAGATAGATGAGATAAATAAGTTTATTTCGAATTCATAATCAGCAAAAAGGCGATAAAATGGTTGATAAAAACAAATTAATAAAAACTAATTATGAAATCAGGAGATTAAACAAAATCTTGGACAAGGTTTAAAACGTACCGTATATGTGCTCGAGAATAGGCCGAGTTTAAAACTCAAAAATAAAGTTGCGGGACCATCTTACCGCACAAGATGATATTATGCTGACTTGCCGGTAATTCCAAATGCTTCAAACCATACCAAGTTCTCACGATAACAAGCGTGCACGCACACACACGATCGCTTGTGAAGGTGGATTGTCTTATCATACAGCTGATGGCTTGTACAGTCTGTGATTGGTTTGTTTTCGCTTGTGTTTCTTTTACATAACAACAACAGTGTCGATTTACGGCCAGTTGTTTCGTGGTGAAAACGTTATTATTTGGTGTGTTATCGCCGTAAAGGCAATTAACGGCGCGTAGGGATGGGCAATGTAGAATAATTTACTATTCTAGAATATTCTAGAATAGTTAAATCGAATCCAGAATACCGAATCCTATTCTATTTTCATACTTATTCAAATAGTGGGAATTTCTACATTGGTGGATTTAGATGGTAAAAAATTGCAAATGTATTACTTACTATAAATGTATTATCTATTTGGAAATGTCCTGAACATTGGATTTCATTTGATACTAAACAAGCAGTTCCCAGAACAATAAAATTTAGGAATATTACAATATTTTTTGCCTTCAATTCTTCCAAATGTATGTAATCCCTAAATACTAATAAATACTGATATGCTAAATTAGGACGCGCTTCACACACTTTAATAGTAAGCGGTTAAATACAAAATAGACATGAAACGGCGTTAAATCATTATTAATGTAAATCTGCCGAGTATACTAAAACATACGCGCTGAGAACCAGCGTGTGGCCACTGCAACCTATGCGCCGTTGTAAAATATTAAATTTAACCACTATCAATTAAAATCAACCATTTATTCTGTGAGAGCAAGACACGTAAAACCAAGTTCCCGTAAACGCGATTTCGTACTTAGTTATTAGGTAATAACATCTGAAGACGAACTCATTTTCTATGATTATCGTTACATATCATTATCTACCCAGACTTGGCCCTACTCAAATTCAATACGTCACTATCTTCACCAGATGCGGCAACTTTTTTCAAAATTCATCGGGCGACTAAAATACTCCAGACTTCCGATCAAACGTGCGTCTATCTTGAACGATAGAAATGTTATCATTAATCATTATCTACCCAGACTTAGCCCTACTCAAATTCAATACGTCACTATCTTCGCCAGATGCGGCAACTTTTTTCAATATTTATCGGCGACTAAAATACTACAGACACTCGATCAAACGTGCGCCTATCTTGAACGATAGAAATGTTATCAATAATCATTATCTACCCAGACTTAGCCTTACTCAAATTCAATACGTCACTATCTTCGCCAGATGCGGCAATTTTTTTCAAAATTTATCGGCGACTAAAATCAAACGTGCGTCTATCTTGAACGATAGAAACGGACCGAAAAATATGTAATCTTTTGAGAGTGAAATTTAAATGTGACAGTTGTTCGCGTTTTGCGATATAACTTTGTATTTCGGAAAATGGTATAATAAAATTATTCGTAAATAATATTTGATCTAAATTAATGGCGAGTAATGTTATAACATTTAACGCCCGGCTTTTGGTTTACGTGCATCATTTTTTTGGGAAAACTCGTAGGTCGCGAAAAATCATTTAATTTAAAATGAGGCAAGGCACCTCTGTAAACAATTAAAGATTGTTGCATTCAGATTATCGGAATATCACCAGTAAGTAACGTTAAGATTATCGGAATATCACGGTTCCATTACATTTGAACCCACGTACATTTGAACCCATGACAATTGCACCTGTATGCTATTGCACCTATGGAATTTTTTTTGTTTCACGGATAGTTAAACCCATACTAACCCTAACCCATGGGTTTTAGCACCCGCATATAGATTGAACCCGTGGATATACGCATGGGTTCAAATGTACATGGGTTCAAATGTACGGTCACCGAATATCACCAGTAAATAACGCTAGCTAGATAGCAAATAAGGAAAACGCAAAAATGGTGCAATAACGAGTCCTCGGCGTGAGGTTATATTGCCGACGTCTTGTCCTGAATATGCCGATTGAAATTACAGTGTTTGATGTTTACCGATTTACGGGTTCTTTGCGAGCAGACGCAAGTTTAATTAAACGAGAGAGATTTCCACGCGAGAAAAACGCTCGTCTATAATTGATAAATTAGAAACCCGAAATACAAAAATTTACGCTTGGCGCCGGAGAGGCGGAAACCGAATCCTGTTATCGGATCCTGTTGGATTCGAATACTTTGGGATTCGAATCCTCCGGATTCGGTATTCTATATTGCCCATCCCTAACGGCGCGCGACTTTTAATCACCTTTACGATATGTTATCCGTTAGGGGCGGTGATAAGAACTCTTATCGAAATTAACCACGTTGTGGTCGATCAAAGGAAATTGTTTTATGCTGACTCAGGAACTCTCTTAAACTCCCGACAACAATCCCTTCCATTAATACAAATCACGACGCATGGAAAGCAATATAGACTTAATTAACATGAATTTACAAGTAAGAGTTACGAGTAAGAATCTACGACCATCGCTACCAAACAGAAATGATAAACGCGAGTAATATTTTTGTTACAGCAATTTTGTTTTCTTTCTGCACCTTTCTTAAAGCGTCTGGCGTGTTAAGATTCGTAGAGATTTATAAGAATGTGTTAATACAGCGTTATTTCTTTCCTTGAAACGGACCGCTGTGGCGATCAAAGGAAATTGTTTTATGCTGATCCGGGAACTCTATTTTAAACTCCCGACACAATCACGACGCATTGAAAAGCAATATAGACTTTATTAACATAAATTAACAAGTAAGAGTTACGGGTAATAATCCACCTACAGCCCTCGCTAACATGCAGAAACGATAAACGTGAGAAATGTTTGGGTTACAGTAATTTTGTT